TCCCTGGGCAGTTTGGTTATCGAGAAGAAGATGTTTAAAGTTTTTAACATATTTGACCCCTGTGACCTTGAAAATGGGTGAAGGTCATTAATTTTAACAAACTTTGTAGCCCTTCATCCCAGTTTGCTTCTGACCAAATATCGACACCCTAGGCCTTTCGGTTATTAAGAAGAAGTCGTTTAAAGTAAAATATTGACACAGGACGACGGACGATGGACGGATGGACAACGGACGCCGCACCACGGCATAAGCTCACTTGGCACTTTGTGCCAGGTGAGCTAAAAATGAAGTTAAATCTTTTCTAGGCTTCATGAATTAACACCGAGAACATATTAAAATGTTTGCAGGGATTGCAACACGCATTCGAGAAGCTACGCGATGCTCTCATAAACGCGGTGACTTTATCCTACCCAAAATTCGGAAGATGTCTTCATTCTTGACACCGACGCCTCGAACATCATAATAGGAGGGGAGCTTAGTCAGACACAGGATGGTGAGGATTGTACAATTGGATTCGCTAGTAAGATACTTTGCCCAACACAAAGGAAGTACTGTACCAACCGGCGAGAGCTACTGGCCATTGTCACTTTCACCCGGCAATATAGACACTATCTTCTAGGTCGGCGGTTTATTGTACGGACAAACCATAAAAGCCTGACATGGCTTCTCAGCTTCAAACATATATTGAGGGACAGCTGGCCCGATGGATTGAGGAGTTGCCGCAGTATGATATGGTCATAGTACATAGGGCTGGTAAGCAACATTGTAATGCCGATGCATTATCCCGGATGCCCAATAACTTACCAGATTGCAATAACTACCTACCTGGGGTCAGTCTGGAGCAATTGCCTTGTGGGGGGGTGCAAGTATTGCACAAGATTATGCAATCATTTGGAAACATTTGAGTGGCACGCACGGGAAGGTGTACATGCAACCGCGCCGCTGTCCGATGCACAGCCCTCTGCAAATGTGAAGGCGGGTGTGTTAATACGGTGGTGATAACCAGTAGTACATGCTACTGAAATCATAGAGTGCAAGCCAGACCGTATAGATAATAATAGTAATCCTGTATTGAATATTGAAAATTTAAATGCACACAGCGGCACATATAGCATTTTGTCACTGCAGAAGTCTCCAAATTAATTTGGTTAAAATTGTTCCTGAATATTTTTTATTGATTTTTAAGTGACCTTGAAGGGTACACTTGACCTCAGATCATTGGAATAACATCTGAATCGACTTCTCCGATCCTGAAAACCCCTAAAATGTGGTATCATTCATGATTCTAGCCCTTTTAGTTTTTTAACTGCGATTGACATCTAACCCGGATGGCGGCCATGTTGGATTTTGCCAATATGCCGGCCCCATGGGCCCGTCAAAAATCTTAAAAGTATGGCATGGGCGATCTCTGGGCCAAATTTGGTGCTTTTGGAAGAATCTGAACCAAAATATCCCTAACACCTCTGACTAATAAGAGTCTGTAACAGTCATTACCAATCTAGCCTTTGCCATCTAGAATTTTTCCACCAATGATAATATTGAGGTGTAGATTGGCGGTCCTGGTGACTTCGCACAGCTTGATGTTTGAACAACAATTGATTTGAAGGGTATGTATTGATAAGACAAAAAATCTCGAAAAATTGTCCATATGTTGACATGGTTAAAACATTTTAGCATTTGCATCTATTGTACCAAACTTGATTGCATTTGAAAGAAAATGCTGCAAATTGTGATTTTGTTGAGACAGATGGTCGTTTGATTTAATTTGTGCCTTATTTAGTATTTCAAGATGGATTGATGAAAAAATATACAAATGAAGACTGTTGTATCTGGTTTTATTACGTATGTACACATCACTTATAATTACATGAATTTGTCAGTAATAGCTTAATCCTATCAATACTTGTAACGCATAGCAGGTATAACAACATATACAAACTAAAGGTGATGTTAGTTTCTCTACCCCTCGTAACAATACAAGTACCTGTACAACTACTAATGCACCGATACATAAACAGGTCTGAGAGTACCTGTACAACTACTAATGCACCGATACATAAACAGTTCTGAGAGTACATGTACAACTACTAATGCACCGAGACATAAACAGGTCAGAGAGTACATGTACAACTACTAATGCACCGATACGTTAACAGGTCTGAGAGTACATGTACAACTACTAATGCACCGATACATAAACAGGTCAGAGAGTACATGCTTTCCCTGTGCTTAGACATGTGTGAAGAGCATTCAATATATAGATCATCGTCCAAACCAACCAAAACACTTCATACAGGTCATGGGTGTTTAACTCATTCACCCCTCAAGACACATTTGAACTCTTCCAATTCAAAAGTTGGAGAAGTCCATCATGAAATTTCAGGGATGAATGAGTTAACACTCCTGGGGTTAGATACAATTTTACGAAAAACCAATCAAATTTGGTTGATTTGGATCAGATTACACCATTGGTAAATACATGTGTGAAAATCAGCCCTGCGTGAACCAGTCTTCAAACACACAGAATATACAATCTAGCTGCCTGAGGGCAGATTGTTCACAAGAACATCCAACTCTGTATGAACTTGTAAATTCAGTATTGTCAGCAGTCACCAACCTAGATGTTTAAGTCCATACTGCGTTTTTTGAGGAAATGGGCTTCATTTGTGATGTAAAAGCATTAATTTTAACATATTGCTCCATTTTAAATGATTACCAGCGAATTTCTGTCACAACAGATTATAATTAAGGGGAGATAACTCTGATCAATGAGTGGTAGTTTCACTTTTTCTACTAAAAATTTCACAGAAACGTCTAGGTTGGAATGCCAACTTAAGCTGCCATCATACAATTCATAAAACAATGTTCATGCTTCATTCTTCCAGTTCTATCATTTCTCACAATTAACACTGAAACGAAATGTATATCATTTATATTTCCTTGCTAGCCACACAGTTCAAACCAGGACATTCTCTTTCCAAACAGTTTTCAGAATAAGATATATAATTTTTCAGGTATCATGATTATGAAAGTACAAGTATATTGAATAAGTGCAGAATTCAAATTCTTTCATTTTTAAGTACTATAGCTGATTAGCACACACAATCTGAGTAAGTCATTGGTACATATATACATTAAAAGCAGTCCCTATCATGTATCCTCATTAATCTTGCATTGTGTACAAAAAACCAAATTTCTCCAATGAAATCAAAATGTTATTCCCCCAAAAAGTGGTTCTATTTAAGGATCTCTATCCCCTTGTCAGTTTAACACCAGAGAATTAAATTCCACTGTACAGAGTAGCCTCCCCTCCTGTTTGAATATAACTGAAGAGAGACTGGGTCACTTTACTACTATTGACCAGGAAACTCGTTTAGTGAGAGCAACAGTATTTGATCAGAAGTCCAGAGTTCCAATCCTGGTCCGGAACCATTAAATTTGTAACAGGAGAAAGAGAAATGCAACATCCAGACCAGGTTCGAACCCAGGACCCTCCGAACTATTAAATGTAAATATATTTATATCATATGTATATATATGAACACTTTATACAACCTTCCACGTGGCCGGGCATACAAAAACGCTCAGGTGTTGAAATCAAACTGACCATCTTTCCAAACATATATATATATATATATGGATTTTGTTATGTTATCAGCTTAAATCATTCACCCCTGAAATTTCATAATGAACTATTCCATTTTATGATTTGGAAGAGTTCAAATTTGTCTTCAAGGGTGGATGAGTTAATTGCATGAGCACTGTACCCATTATATAGCACAGCCCTCCCCCACTCCCCTCCATTACTATATATACAAGATTGTGACACCACAAAACACACATTATATACGTATACCCCGTCCTCATCTAATTAGCCCACAGCAAACAGTCACAACGAAAGCCCAACTTAAAAGTTGTGATCACTTTTATTAACACATTTAATTTTCACTTGTTCACTTTTTATGTAATACCGGTATACTGCAATGTGGGTCGCAATGTGGGTCACTTACATGTCACATGATACTTAAAAGTTAATTCAGTATTGAGGGGAAATTAACTCATTCACCCCTGAAACTGCATGATGGACTATTCCAACCTTTGAATTGGAAGAGTTCAAATGTGTCATCAGGGGTGAATGATTTAATGAACCATGTGAACATGATTTGTTTTCTGAGAGAAACACGAAATACTGTAGTTACCAATAGGCACTGAAAGGTTCTGTACAATTAAGCGTGCATGAAAAATAATTAACTACTATATCCGTAATTTCCTCAAATCTGCTAATACCATCAAGTTTTCTGATGAGGTAAGTATTGTTTCTTGTCTCAAAAAATAAGAGGGGTTGGTTCACAGGATAAACCTTTCAATGACTCAAGAGGGCTTCGATCACAGGATAAAGCCTTTCAATGACTCAGAGGGCTTCGTTCACAAGATAAAACCTTTCAATGACTCAGAGGGCTTCGATCACAAGATAAAACTTTTCAATGACTCAGAGGGCTTCGTTCACAAGATAAAACCTTTCAATGACTCAGAGGGCTTTGTTCACAAGACAAAACCTTTCAATGACTCAGAGGGCTTCGTTCACAAGATAAAACCTTTCAATGACTCAGAGGGCTTCGTTCACATGATAAAACCTTTCAATGACTCAGAGGGCTTCGATCACAGGATAAAACCTTTCAATGACTCAGAGGGCTTCGTTCACAAGATAAGGGCTTCGTTCACAAGATAAAACCTTTCAATGACTCAGAGGGCTTAGTTCACAAGATAAAACTTTTCAATGACTCAGAGGGCTTCGTTCACAAGATAAAACCTTTCAATGACTCAGAGGGCTTCGATCACAAGATAAAACCTTTCAATGACTCAGAAGGCTTCGATCACAAGATAAAACCTTTCAATGACTCAGAGGGCTTCGACCACAGGATAAAACCTTTCAATGACTCAGAGGGCTTCATTCACAAGATAAAACCTTTTAATGACTCAAGAGGGCTTCGTTCACAAGATAAAACCTTTCAATGACTCAGAGGGCTTCGTTCACAAGATAAAACCTTTCAATGACTCAGACTACCATGTCCGTAACATCATCACAATACTTCTATCACAGACACGGCTACCATAACAACACTCCATGATGTAGTTCTAGAGCAACAATAACAGCTCGAAAAAACAACACAAATATTTGCTCGCCCTAAATAGTCTTAAAACAAAAATTATATAATTCACAAAACATATATATCCTTCCCATTTAACTATTGACACAGATATTAAACTACTGTACTAATCTATGTTTTTTTTAACATTTCTTTACAGAGGTTGTCTATTCTAAACACAGAATATTAACTCATTCACCCCTGAAATTTCATAATGAACTATTCCAACCTTTGAATTGGAAGAGTTCAAATGTGTCTTCAGGGGTGAATGATTTAAGTAAACAAATCTTTGGCCTTAACCCATTACCAGTATGTTACTGGTTTATTCAAAAGCAAACAAAATATATTACCGGTATAGATACGAAATTCAGGCATGTAATTAAGTCACATTCCTCCCCCCCTAGATTTTCCCCCCAAAAAATCTAGACTTTTTTCCATTGTGTTGCATATATTTAAGGAACATACACAATAATAAAACCAGGTAATAGGTCTGCAACAAATCTAGTAAAATATACAAATATGTCTATAATAGGCTCTTTATGGTCATTACATAATATTTACCTTTCATGTGTCAAAAATATTAACATAAGCACTTTCCATGCTCTTGTGTCCTGCAGTACAGAGACACGTGAACACTCTCACATCAGTTTATCATTGACTAGCTATAGACTGTGTGGAACATCACTGAATCAGTTAAACTTACAGCACACACATCTAGTGAATTGTATCGCCGTACAGTCCAAATTAACAGCCCTCACCTCGAGCTCCATTTCATAAACATTTACTTAATTTGAGGAAATTCATTATTTCATGCTTTTCCGATGGAAAGCATTGCTGAAGAAAATTTAAATCACTTAATTAAGATAAATTTTGAACCCCCACAATGTTTTTTAAAAAGAATTTCCTTAAGTTACGGAATGTTAATGAAACTTGGGCCTGATAAGTTGTATTTTTATGACATCAGCAAAAGTTTACAGCACAGATATATTAGTTTGGTTTGTTTGTGTTTTACATCTTATTAAAAAAGTATGGACATTTAGGGACAGAAAAGCCTGAGTTCCCAGAGAAAAACCATCAACAGGCAGTCAGTACCTGGCGACTGCCCCAAGTAGGACACGAACCTGCGACCCAGTGGTCGAGGGCTAGTGATCAATGACAGTCATATGCCTTAACCTCTCTGCCAACGAGGGCCCCTGATCTATTGAATTCTTCATCAGTATGAATTGCCAGCACAGATGTCCTGAAGGTCACGGAAAGCACTATCTAACCCCTTCACCCCTATGTAACTTAAGTGGACTCTACCATGCATTGATCTGGATGAGTCCTTTATGGTCTACAGTGGTGAAAGGGCTAAGTAAACGTAACATAAAAGCCACAATATACAATTTATCTTAGCTAAGTTTCTGTGATAGATTTGATCTGGCCTATACATATCTGAAGTTAACTTATTTCCAGGACAGTTTTATCTAAAAACACCAGAACAGAAACTGAAGACAGGTGTTATTAGGGCATCCTCTTTCATAGATCCATCAATTAGTCACAGGATTCTGCATTACAAATATTCCCAATACAATGAGTGCTTAATGATAGTGTTCTTTAAATGCAACACAGTGCATAGCATTGATAAACAAGTCCTTTTTCTTATTAAGCATGCACACATCAATGCAGTTTACATCTAGAAACTAATCAAAACCTTTAATATAACAATGGCTTCTTTCCACAATAATACTACGAGGTCCAGACTTCATGGTTTCATCCGCAGGCAGATGATGAGTAAGAGTGAACATGAGAACAGTTTCTGTCAGGCTATAGTAGGCCTTATAAGTCTTCTGTTGTTTCCTGAATTTGTTGGTTGTTATTTAAGGTCTATGGCTATGGTAGACCTCGTAAATCTCCTGTATGTTGGTTGTTTCTTATAGTCTCGGACTATGTTAGGCCAGACCAATCTTCTGTCCGTTGGTTACCGTGCTAATGTTGTAATCAGGTTCGCACACATCTCAAAGAATTCAAGAGTCACGTGACATTGGGGCGTCTCATCATCTGTCTCCATCCTCTCGTCTGCAGAAAAATATTAAAAACAACTAATTATACATCAAATTCTACATGGCTAGCACTTTATACGAATAGTCCAAAATTGTACATATTGCCAAACAATTTATGAAGTATTGCTCAAGCAATAATTATTTATCAGGAATTCACATGAGGGAAATTAGCTTTTAGCATTATGAGAATCAAATGAAAAACTTAATGGAAAATTATATATCATTCGGTATAAAAGTCCAGATTATTTTATTTTAGACTTTTTTATTGACTAGTAAGTTTTTAAACGTATGCATCTTTGAGCGGTCATACTTGATCAGGGACAATGAATATTTTTGTTTAACAGATCTGGAAATGACTTGACATGTAACTATGACTGCTATACCTTAATCTAGATATTTCATTTTTATCCATTTGTACATCCTGATGTATTTCTGCGACATCAAATTATATTCATACAAAGTTTACATGTGCTCTTACATTTATATATATGTATATCAATGTAATTTGCTGAAAATGAAATATTCCCATACAACGCAATAACGATGAGGCAGGCAAGCATTAGTAAAAGCATGCAAATGCTGAAGCAAGGATCCTTAAGCAAGGTAAATAAGCAAGCAGCCAGTATGTTGAAGCAATAACCTCTATTAGAAGTCCACAGAGTGCATTTTAAATGTCAACATATATGACTGAAGTAATGATGCACATATCAAGTAGGGCTGCAACGATATATCGTGATATTTTGAATATGGTACGATACACAATAATAGCTAGGCATGCAGGTCAAAAGATGTTAATTATTCGAAACTTTAAAAGTCATGCCTATTTTGGGCAACTCTGTTTCTAGTTGAAGTATTGTCATTAAAAATTTGCAGCATATCTGTTCTTTTTTTGCTTCTGCAGTACTGTTGCTATACCTATATTGTATTATCATGATACGTACCGTATTGTGTCTGCAGTATCGTGATACGTATTGTATGTATTGTCATATTAATCTATCATTGCAGCCATAATATCAAGAAAATTCAGTAATTACTTAATGTGTATAGTCACCTAAACCCAATTTTCTGTAGATGTTAAAGTAAATATATCTCCACCTGGAGAAAAATTGTATACCACTAGAAAATATTTACAAAACATGCACATACCCCACTCACTCTTCGATGGAAATGAAACTAGATGCAAAGTCTAACCAAAGAAATGGAACTAAATGTCTAATGAAAGAATACATATACATGTATATAGCTAAATGTCTAACAAAAGTCTGTGTAGCTTTAAAAATGTGTGACCTTTATTAGACATTTAGTTCCATTTCTTTGGTTAGATCAATCCGAAAATAAGACCACTTTGTCAGGACCATGAGTCGATTATTCCTACCAAGTTTAAGTTAAAACGGCCCAGTCGAAACACTTGTTTGGGAGATGTCAGTAACATTCCCATGAAGTATCAATGAAATCCCTTCAACAGAATTTCAGCTTCAGTTGAAAACGTAAAATGTTAACTGATGATGGAGGATGCGAAACAACGGACGAGACAGACAGCAAAGGGTCACTTGAGCTAAAGCTCAGGTGACCTAAAAAGGTAATATGATTCCTTTCTACTGGTGGTTAGCGACAAGCTAAAGACGTGATGACCACTGAATGGTGTTAGTGTAATGGTCACTACTGGTGGTCAGAGACAAGCTACAGACATGATGACCCCTCTATGGTGTTAGTGTAATGGACACTACTGGTCGTCAGAGACAAGCTTCAGATGTGATGACCGCTCTATGGTGTTAGTGTAATGGACACAACTTGTGGCCAGAGACAAGCTACAGGCATGATGACCGCTCTATGATGTTAGATGATGTTAGTGTAATGGTCACTACTGGTGGTCAGCGACAAGCTACAGATGTGATGACCGCTCTATGGTGTTAGAGTAATGGTCACTACTGGTGGTCAGAGATAATCTACAGACATGATGACCCCTCTATGGTGTTAGTGTAATGGACACTACTGGTGGTCAGAGACAAGCTACAGATGTGATGACCACTCTATGGTGTTAGTGTAATGGACACTACTGGTGGCCAGAGACAAGCTACAGATATGATGACCGCTCTATGGTTTTAGTGTAATGGTCACTACTGGTGGTCAGAGACAATCTACAGACATGATGACCGCTCTATGGTGTTAGTGTAATGGACACAACTTGTGGCCAGAGACAAGCTACAGGCATGATGACCGCTCTATGATGTTAGTGTAATGGTCACTGCTGGTGGTCAGAGACAAGCTTCAGATGTGATGACCGCTCTATGGTGTTAGTGTAATGGACACTACTGGTGGTCAGAGACAAGCTTCAGATGTGATGACCACTCTATGGTGTTAGTGTAATGGTATGATTCCTTTCTACTGGTGGTTAGCGACAAGCTAAAGACGTGATGACCACTGAATGGTGTTAGTGTAATGGTCACTACTGTTGGTCAGAGACAAGCTACAGACATGATGACCACTCTATGGTGTTAGTGTAATGGTCACTCCTTTCTACTGGTGGTTAGCGACAAGCTAAAGACGTGATGACCACTGAATGGTGTTAGTGTAATGGTCACTACTGTTGGTCAGAGACAAGCTACAGACATGATGACCACTCTATGGTGTTAGTGTAATGGTCACTCCTTTCTACTGGTGGTTAGCGACAAGCTAAAGACGTGATGACCACTGAATGGTGTTAGTGTAATGGTCACTACTGTTGGTCAGAGACAAGCTACAGACATGATGACCACTCTATGGTGTTAGTGTAATGGTCACTACGGGTGGTCAGAGACAAGCTACAGATATGATGACCGCTCTATGGTTTTAGTGTAATGGTCACTACTGGTGGTCAGAGATAAGCTACAGACATGATGACCGCTCTATGGTGTTAGTGTAATGGACACTACTGGTGGCCAGAGACAAGCTACAGATGTGATGACCGCTCTATGGTGTTAGTGTAATGGACACGACTTGTGGCCAGAGACAAGCTACAGGCATGATGACCGCTCTATGATGTTAGTGTAATGGTCACTGCTGGTGGTCAGAGACAAGCTTCAGATGTGATGACCGCTCTATGGTGTTAGTGTAATGGACACAACTTGTGGCCAGAGACAAGCTACAGGCATGATGACCGCTCTATGATGTTAGTGTAATGGTCACTACTTGTGGCCAGAGACAAGCTACAGATGTGATGACCGCTCTATGATGTTAGTGTAATGGTCACTACTGGTGGTCAGAGACAAGCTACAGACATGATGACCCCTCTATAGTGTTAGTGTGACACTTACCAGGCATAAACAAGACATTGTCTGAGGAGTAATCTGAAATTTCCAAAGTCACACACAATCTTACATCACACCATGACCACTAGGATGTTAGCATGATCTAATAAAGAGCCATAGCAACCCTTTTAGTTTGGAAGATTGATGATAGAAATAATGATGATCTAACAATTTTACAGAGAAGTCATAAGCAAGTCATACTACGGCAATACAACAAAACACACTACAAATTTTTGTTAAGAAGTTGGATCTTCTTGTAATTTCATACTCCTACAAGGTAGCGAAAACACTAAACTTATTCTAAGGATGTTGATTGTCTTTTTTAAAGACATAAAACTTCTACAGAACACTGAAAATACTTCACTGATACTGTGATGTAGGATCCCCTTTTAGACTTACTTCTGTAGCAAACGGGGAAAAAAAATTGTTGAACTTATAGTAAGGATGTTGGATCTTCTTGAAATATTTCAGAGTTATCATTTACTGGTCAACTTGTCCTACAGGCCTCTCCTTATTTAACGCATTAACATCTGTGACCTTTAAAGTTGATCAAATTTGCTTAAGCTTGAAAGCATGTAACCTTACAGGCTAAGTATCATTAGAAACATATTTTAAACATGTGACCTTCATAATTATTCAAAATCATCTATTTGAACAAACTTGACAGCATATTATTAATAATTATAAAACAGCAAATTACAAACCAAATTTATCTCTTAGCCTTGATTTAAGGACCTTCAGAAGAAGTTATTTTCATGAAGGCTTTCATGCATATGACATTTATAGCTTTTCCCATCAGCAAGCTACAGGCCAAATATTGCTCTTCAGGTCTCACAGACCTAAGGGCTCCTGAACTTGAAAGAGGGTCAAGGTCATTCATCAGAACAAACTTCAAAAGCTCATTATCCCCGTATGCAACCATCTAAGTATCGTTACTGTAGGCCCTATGTTCTAGAGCTGAAGTTGTTCTAAGACAAAAACATCATGCCAGATAGACAGAGTTGCGGATGGCTGATGGATGCTTCACCGTCGCACAAGACCAGGCGAGAGAATAATTATAATCTTGGGAGAGATCATGCTCTATAATATGGTAGTAGGCATAAGGACAGATCTAAGAAAGATTCACAGCAGCAAGTTTCAATCTGGTGAGACAGATGAGAGAAGACTAGTTAGTAGAAGTTAGTAGCTCTGTAACCCTAGGCATAACAGCGTGGAAGCACATCGTACACACACCATCACTTTTTATCCGATCGTTTAGCCACATCATTATGAATAGCTAACATAGTTTGATCCTATCCTCAGCCCCTTATCCCAATTTCTCTTTAAGAAATATTTGAAAGAAGTCAATTTTTTATCATACAATTTTGTAGCGTAATACTAAATAATGAATGATAAAGTCTATTTCACAGTTTAATAATTATATGTAAATTTTATAACATATTATACTTGCATAGAGAAGAGACATATATATTTCAAACATCTATAATAACGTACGATACCATATAAAATGCATTATGATACTACACGTATAGCTATAGCTACAACACAAATGAAACAAGCATGAATTCACTACACACGAGTTTGAAATGGTCACTACATGGAAACACTTTACAACGATATCATTACACAGATATAAGTCAAACTAGACAACAGCGAATAATCACAACAACAATAGTCGGATATACAGTCAGATAGTAGCATTCAGCATCATAATATATATGTGGGTGCTCTACGTTATTTCCACATACTACTAAATGTAAACATACACATACAAAATAAACGTTATTAAGAAGGAAGCTGATACTAAACCTGAAATGTTGAACCTCCAATTTTTTTTTATAAGCAAGAATTCAATGTATGTTAATTAGAAGTGCATCTATGCTAGGATTAAGAATGCACTGAAAGTTTCCAGGAGATTCCAGCTGGTTTAAGTAAATGCCAGTACTAACGTGTGCCATAGAACGTTAAATCTGTCCCTGCCCTGTTAGTGTCACTTACCAAGGTCAGATAGGGAGGAAGGCGGGGAGCCGGACATGCTCCGCCCCATGGAGTCGGACAGGGAGTTTCCAAGGGACCCCTCGGAGACATCTACCAAATTCAAGCTCTTAAAGTCGAGCAGAAAACTTTTCTGGTCCACCTGGTACAGCTGGAGGTTCATCTTACTCTGCGGACACAAGAAAGGCCAGTCAGATGAGTCTTGTGTCAGCGTTTAAGTTTTTTCTTTTACCCAAATTTCATTTAGTCTAACAGAATTTTCATTTCGCAAACGTTTGTAACTAAACACGAATATTGTTGTGTATTAGGCCTTCAAAATTGGTTTCCATAAACATTATTTATAATACTCATTTTATTAAAAAGTAAAACGTTAACGTACATGAGTCAGCGTTGCATACTAAATTAAGCCTCATTGTGTACAGTAATCTTCAAAACAACAATACCGGGACTGACCATGTCTGTTATCAATTCAACTACAGGAGTTGACCTCTTACTTTACGAGTGGACATTTTATACAATTGTTTAAGTAAAACGAAGAAAACGATGAGTGTTCTACTTAGTAACTACACATTGACATGTTCTAACGCTGATGATGTCATCTATGCGCTAATCAAGGAGAAACACACCCTCGATACACCAGGGTTACACGCACTTACGCTTTCCGCACCCCTGGAATGTATCATGACGAAATAACATTGCAGACTCTGAACTCACCACCTTGTGGATGAGACAGTACGACTATTTGATCCGTTGATGTACAACGGCCACGTAACGGTAAAATTAACTGGCTTTGAAGTCGAGTATCACTCCTTTCTAATCTTCAAAGGACAGGTACCGTGTGTGATTGGTGTTTTTTTACCCGAGACCAATCCAATAGCTATCTTCGTGCCTTCAATTTTGCTTGACATATTCTAGGGGTGCAGAGAGCGTATGTGAGTGTAACCCTGGAGAATCATGTGAAGAAACAAGTCCCAGGGATGCAGAGAGCGTAAGTGGGCAAACACGTGCACCTGGGGTACCGAGGATGGGAGAAACAAGTCCTATCTGTTTTAACCTACATATCTGCATGAGCCAGGGTTCTTCCTCCTAACTTTGACGTGGTAGGGATTCACAGTCTTCCACTCCTGATTGTATAAAGAAACATATATTAGCCCAAATATTCAAAACGGTGAGCATCTGATATACAATTAGTAAAGTGAATTTTACCAATCAAAAAGTAGTCTAATTAAACTGCTCAAAACTTGCTTGTCATTGGTACAAGGAAATTGGATTTTAGTTTAAAATAAAGATCTAAATTTCTAACCAAATGAACATCATGTGCTAATTAGAAAATGTCTATAACACAAATGCATCATTTGCTGATGTTGTTGAGACCATGAACACATTTCGAAACAAACACCTATTGTTCGGAAAAAAAACTTTATACCAAACGGGTGATACAATTTAGAAATGATGAAGTTTAACTGAAGAATTTTAGACCTTAAACGTCAAAATGATTTTCCTACAAAATAAACCCTATAAAATGAAACAAATCTATGTAGGTGGAAAGTAGAAATCTTGTAATGACTTACATAGTCCAATGTTTTCATCGCCCGGAATACCTCATGCATGATGTCCTGAGGCTTACTCTGTGATCTGATACCTGAAGGGGAGAGTATTTATGATCAACACAAAACAGATGTAATTGTTGCAAAGATGATAAGTCTGGTCTAACCTCTGGTTGGTGTATAACCAGTCAGAAATTAAGTCCACTGGTCTAACCTCTGGCACTGTTGGTGTATAATCAGTCAGAGTTTAAGTCCACTGGCCAACCTCTGTTACTGTTGGTGTATAACCAGTCAGAAATTAAGTCCACTGGTCTAACCTCCGGTACTATTGGTGTATAACCAGTCAGAAATGAAGTCCACTGGTCTAACCTCTGGTTGGTGTATAACCAGTCAGAAATAAAGTCCACTGGTCTAACCTCTGGCACTGTTGGTGTATAATCAGTCAGAGTTTAAGTCCACTGACCAACCTCTGTTACTGTTGGTGTATAACCAGACAGAAATTAAGTCCACTGGTCTAACCTCCGGAACTATTGGTGTATAACCAGTCAGAAATGAAGGCCACTGGTCTAACCTCTGGTTGGTGTATAACCAGTTAGAATTTAAGTCCACTGGTCTAACCTCTGGTACTTTTGGTGTATAACCAGTCAGAAATTAAGTCCACTGGTCTAACCTCTGTAACTGTTGGTGTATAACCAGTCAGAAATGAAGTCCACTGGTCTAACCTCTGGTTGGTGTATAACCAGTCAGAAGTTAAGTCCACTGGTCTAACCTCCGGTCCGGTACTGTTGGTGTATAACCAGTCAGAAATTAAATCCAATGCATTTTCAATTTAATATTCTATCAACTGAACCTTAAACAAGAGGCCCAGGGGCCTTAATAGCTCACCTGGTATTTTATTTTTCAATTTAAAACCTGCTGAGTACCATTCAGGTTTATCAAAGGAGTACAAGTAACAAAGTTGCATCTTCCATTTATAAATATTCAATTCCCTTTGCCCAAAGATTCTCTAAAACAAGTTTGGTTAGGTTAAAATCCCTTCAACGGTACAGAAGGAGAAGGATCTTTAATGTTTTCCTCTATTTCCCCTAATGGGCCCCACTAATCTGCCCCAAAGAAGGGGAATCCACACACCTCAGTTTAAACAAAATTGATTCTTTTCTCCCTAAGCATGCTTCAGACTGCATTTGGTTTAAATCCCTTCACTTGTATAGTAGGAGAAAAAAAATCCTCTATTTCCCCTATTGGGCCCCGCTCCTATGCCGCCAGAAGGCCCACACCCTCCGTTTATACAAACTTGAGTCTCCTTTGTCCAAAGATGCTCTAGGACAAATTTGGTCAAAATCCTTCAATTGGTTGAGGAGAAGATTTTTAAAGATTTACCTATTTTCCCCTATTTGGCCCCGTCCCTCTGCCCCCAGGGGGACCATACCCTCCGTTCATACAAAACTGAGAACCCTTTGGCCAATGATGCTCCAGACCAAATTTGGTCAAAATCCCTTCATCGGTACAAAAGGAGAAGGATATTTGATGTTTTCCTCTATTTCCCCTAATGGGCCCCACCCATCTGCCCTTAGAAGGAGGCCCACACACCTCAGTTTATACAAAATTGATTCTTTTGTCCCTAATCATGCTTCAGACTGCATTTGGTTAAAATCCCTTCACTTGTATAGCAGGAGAAAAAAAATCCTCTATTTCCCCTATTGGGCCCCGCCCCTCCGCCCCCAGAGGGGCCACACCCTCCGTTTATACAAACTTGAGTCTCCTTTGTCCAAAGATGCTCTAGGACAAATTTGGTCAAAATTCTTCTATTGGTTGAGAAGAAGAAGATTTTTAAAGATTTACCTATTTTCCCCCTATTTGGCCCCGCCCCTCTGCCCCCAGGGGGGTTATACCCTCCGTTTATACAAAACTGAGAACCCTTTGGCCAATGATGCTCCTGACCAAATTTGGTCAAAATCCTCTGAGCCATTCAGGACAAGTAGCATTTTAAAGGAAAAAGTTGACGGACGCCGGACGCCGGACGCCGGACGCCGGACGCCGGACGCTCGACGACGGACGCTGCACCATGGGATAAGCTCACATGGCCCTTCGGGCCAGGTGAGCTAAAAAGGATGGAACAAGTAAAAGATTGTGTTATCACTCTACGTTGATCGAGAACATTGTAACAGCTGTAACATGATGGTAGTATTCTGAGTACCAAAAGGGAGATAACTTACCTAGATGCCACTTGGCCTTTTTGGACGGAGTCAGTCCTTTGTTTGTTGTCGCCAGCAATGGTTCTAAGGTGTGACTAGTACTCTTCATTTCTACAATACATATACAGGTGATGTGTTACACAACCTAAACAAAAACTATTTACATATCTCCACCAGACATGTGTTACACAACCCAAACGAAACTACTTACATATCTCCACCAGACATGTGTTACACAATCCAAATGAAACTACTTACATATCTCCACCAGACATTTGTTACACAACCCAAACAAAACTACTCACATATCTCCATCAGACTCTTGTTGGTCTGTACATGTATATTCACTATCTGTACATGTAATTATTAAACTTTTCACAAACTTCCACAGAAGTCCCCCATACCATATCCTAAGTTGATGTGAAAATGATTTTTTTTTTTATTTCATCAATTCCAAATATAACCTAAGCAAAGAGAACTTTTATTTGAGGAACCGCCAAGGGTTTATTCCTAGTTATGACATACCTAAATTAAATCAAAAACTGTTTGCTTTATGTCTAAATCAACAAAGTATTTTACGCAATAAAGTGCACAGTTCCAAAGTGAAGAAACCGCTAGATACCTTTGCCAAGTTGCTGAGTATCATTTTATAAGATCTGACATGAACAAGGAGAACATACCTGGCATCCTTTCTGGGTGTGGTTTCAGAGGACTGGTAGCCTACCGGACAAAAATATATTGATATATCAAATTCTTATCTTATCAAACTGTTTCGAAGAGCAAAAGGTTGTAACATGTTAAGAATATTTCAAGTTAATTTGGGCATCATGCAATCACCTTGCAGCAAGGTATAGATTCACAGGAAAAAACATTGGGCATGGTATAGCCCAGCGGAAATGATGTAATACTATAGGGTCAATTTTAGTATCCAAGGGGCAAGTTTACTATCCAAGGGTCATATTTAGTATCCTGGAGTCAAGTTTAGTATCCAAGGGGCAAGTTTACTATCCAAGGGTCATATTTAGTATTCTGGAGTCAAGTTTAGTATCCAAGGTGCAAGTTTAGTATCCCAGAGTCAAGTATAGTGTCCTGGAGTCGAGCAAAGTATCCAAAATCAAGTAATAACAATAATAATATACAACATTTGATATAGTGCCCTATCTAGCTCATATAACATAACCCACTTTGAAGCACTTTACAGTACATAGATATACAATTAGCAAATACATTAATCAATACATTTTTGAGGAATTCGCAGGAGCTGCCTTATGAGGCGCTAACTACTAGTCCTATGCCACCTGGCTAATATCTCCCTATATGTGTATGCCTGTGTGTGTGCTGGAGACAAAATGTGTTCTGTTTATAGTGGGACTGTGCTTCTAACAGCATCAATTATAGTGCCACCTCACTTGAATGCTACAGCACAGATACCGAAATATCCATCCCAGACCAATGCATACTCCACCTGGGTTGTTGGAGTTTAGTGGGCAGGAGAAAAACACTTTATCTGAATATCCATGCATACCACGACTATGGGGATCGAACCCCGGCCGCCTGTGTGGAAGGCCGGAGTGTTAACCTCCCCAAATCAAGTTCATAGACAGTCTAGAACTGAAGAGATCTTGATTACAGAAGTCACAAGGCTAACCACAATCACAATCCCACAATTTTTCAAGTTATGTAGCAATCTGGCAATCAAATTTACTTTTAACAATTTCATGATTATACAAACATGTATCAGTCAGAAATATAAGTATAGACATTTTCAAATTCAAATTCACTGAAATACCTATGACAACTTTTTTAAATGGAAAAAAATCAGTTTATGGAGTTACTTATATTTTTACATAAAGATGTTTTGAAATTTTAGTTCAAACTACTTCTTTATGACGATTTGACCTGGCGAAATCAACAATAACAGGAATTTATAATTTCTTTCTATCTTTCTGATGTAACAGGCAAAAGATCAACATTGAGTGATAAGAGATTTACAGTATCATGTTATCATGTAGAAGAAAAAGTAAAATAAGTTTAGAGAAACACCAGTAAAACACCAACGCATACAACTCATTTGTAAAAACCCTAAATTCACTACACCCAAATATAGTTATATTTACACACAAATTTTCATACATATTTACAATGTACAACAAAAACAAACTGCACAACAGATGATGTATGTTTATCCCTAACATGATATATTTTGTTGACATTATTGATTGTATGTCCCGAGCTCCTTGTTCTTGTTAAGTAAAACTCATAATAGGAATAATTCTATACAAGTTTATCACAGGCCTAACTTATCTACATCACTGTAGTTTAACCAGGCTTGAGTGAACTCTGTGTAATCCAGATCCCTGTCTGAACTGGCTTTGCTATTCCGCTCCTGAATTAACACTCATCAGTTTAAAAGTGTTCCAGGCATTTACACTACCATTCGTAGGTGAACCCTTTCTATACTGGATTCTGTATAATCCAGATACCTGTCTATACCAGCTCTATCATTTTGTCTCGGCATTTACATTCATCAAATATAGTATGTCAACCCTGTGTAATCTGGACTCTGTCTACTCAGGAAACCAGTGTTATTTTTACTGATCTTACTATATAAATCATTCAAAACACATATGACACCCACATTTTGTTATATACCTGGCCTTTTCTGTCTCCTCTGTCAACTATCCCTGCTTAAGTGTGGGTTTTTTTCAGACATTAAAGATGTGATTTGTTGAATTAACTATTGAGAGAGGAAATTTTCACAATTTTCTATTCCTATGTCAGTTAAACATTTTTAAGGATGTTAACTTCTAAAGGTTAGTACCGATCATCACTGACTGTTAAGTCCAGACCCTGTAAAAATCTACCAAATACTTCAGCCCCAGGTTTCACCCAACATCACTGACTGTAAAGTCCAGACCCTGTAAAAATCTACCAAATACTTCAGCCCCAGGTTTTACCCAACATGACTGACTGTAAAGTCCAGACCCTGTACAAATCTACTGAATACTTCAGCCCCAGGTTTTACCCAACATCACCTACTGTAAAGTTCAGACCCTGTAAAAATCTACTGAATACTTCAGCCCCAGGTTTTACCCAACATGACTGACTGTTAAGTCCAGACCCTGTAAAAATCTACCAAACACTTCAGCCCCAGGTTATACCCAACATCACTGACTGTAAAGTCCAGACCCTGTAAAAATCTGCCAAACACTTCAGCCCCAGGTTTCAACACGTTACACTGTACACATACGTATGTTATGCTTCAATTTACCTAAAGAATTCATAACTTTGAAATGAAAAAACATACAAAAACATAAAAATAATCATTATCAATGTTCCAAGCAAAACGAGCATAAATATTTGGGTAAGTAACATTTGGGAACTGATTGATACTGTCTATACACATGCTGTTGTCTATGATTGGTCTAAATCTACTACTTAACTTAATCACATGCACATTACTACAGGTCGGTGGTGCACCAACCACAATGTAGGTACAGCACTTTGGTCCAAGTTCCTCCCATATTGCAAACAACACACAACACCATTTAGAGTATTTTTACATAAATTATAGCATTGACTGATTTTTGTCAACACCATCTCCATGGCAACCTAACTGGCTGCCACCTAGCTGGCTACCTAATAACTAATTACATGTTATGTATATATAATTGCCAACTATGTACATATACTATAATAAGTGTTGTTCAAATAACAGATATACAGCCAAACCTTGTTTTATCATTGGGGCTATGACTAAATTTACAAGATTAATCTTTGTGCTGATTTAATGAGAGACTGGAAGGATGCTAACTGTGAAAACTGGAATAAAATAATAAAGAGGTTGAATTGAGATAAAAGGGTTAATTGGACATAAAACAAGTTTATTTTTCATAAATATATAGATATATCTTAAATTAGTAAAGTTTGACTCTAATGAGTCAATTTACAAACATCCACAAGACAAACAACAAATATTTACCACACCTTCAGACAGCATACAAACATTCACCAGACCTTCAGACAGCACAACAAACTTTTACCAGACCTTCAGACAGCACAACAAACATTCACCAGACGTTCAAACAGCACAACAATCCTTCACCAGACCTTCAGACAGCACAACAAACATTTACCAGACCTTCAGACAGCACAACAAACATTCACCAGACCTTCAGACAGCTCAACAAACATTCACCAGACCTTCAGACAGCACAACAATCATTCACCTGACCTGCAGACAGCACAACAAACATTCACCAGACCTTCAGACAGCACACAAACATTCACCAGACCTTCATACAGCACAACAAACATTCACCAGACGTAAGACAGCACAACAAACATTCACCAGACCTTCATGATCAGACGACAGCAGACAAACATTCACCAGACCTTCAGACAGCACACAAACATTCACCAGCCCTTCAGACAGCCCACAACCATTCACCAGACCTTCAGACAGCACATCAAACATTCACCAGACCTTCAGAGAGCACAACAAACATTCCCCAGATGTAAGCAAGCACACAAACATTCACCAGATGTAAGCGAGCACACAAACATTCACCAGACCTCCAGACAGCACACAACCATTCACTTGACCTTCAGACAGCACAACAATCATTCACCTGACCTGCAGACAGCACATCAAACATTCACCAGACCTTCAGAGAGCACAACAAACATTCACCAGATCTTCAGACAGCACAACAAACATTAACCTGACCTTCAGACAGCACAAATATTCACCTGACCTTCAGACAGCCCAACAAACATTCCCCAGACCTTCAGACAGCACAAAAAACATTCACCAGATTTAAGACAGCACACAAACATTCACCAAACCTTCAGACAGCAAACAAACATTCACCAGACCTCCATACAGCACAACAAACATTCACCAGACCTGCAGACAGCACAACAAACATTCACAAGACTTAAGACAGCACAACAAACATTCACAAGACTTAAGACATCACAACAACCATTCACCAGACCTTCATGATCAGATGACAGCAGACAAACATTCACCAGACCTTCAGAGAGCACAATAAACATTCACCAGATGTAAGACAGCACAACAAACATTCACCAGACCTTCAGACACCACACAAACATTCACAAGACCTTCAGACAGCACAACAAACATTCACCTGACCTTCAGACAGCACAACAACCATTCACCTGACCTTCAGACAGCACAACAAACATTCACAAGACTTAAGACAGCACAACAACCATTCACCAGACCTTCAGACAGCACACAAACATTCACCAGACCTTCAGACACACACAAAAAAAATTCACCAGACCTTCAGCCAGCACAACAAACATTCACCAGACCTTCAGACAGCACAACAAACATTCACCTGACCTTCAGACAGCACAACAAACATTCACCAGACGTAAGACAGCACAACAAACATTCACCAGACCTTCATGATCAGATGACAGCAGACAAACATTCACCAGACCTTCAGACAGCACACAAACATTCACCAGACCTTCAGACAGCACAAAAAACATTCACCAGACCTGCAGACAGCACAACAAACATTCACCTGACCTTCAGACAGCACAACAAACATTCACCAGATATAAGACAGCACACAAACATTCACCAGACCTTCAGACAGCACACAAACATTCACCAGACCTTCAGACAGCACAACAAACATTCACCAGACCTTCAGACAGCACAACAAACATTCACCAGACCTTCAGACAGCACACAAACATTCACCAGACCTTCAGACAGCACAACAAACATTCACCTGACCTTCAGACAGCACAACAAACATTCACCAGATGTAAGACAGCACACAAACATTCACCAGACCTTCAGACAGCACACAAACATTCACCAGACCTTCAGACAGCACAACAAACATTCACCTGACCTTCAGACAGCACAACAAACATTCACCAGATGTAAGACAGCACACAAACATTCACCAGACCTTCAGACAGCACACAAACATTCACCAGACCTTCAGACAGCACAACAAACATTCACCAGACCTTCAGACAGCACAACAAACATTCACCAGACCTTCAGACAGCACAACAAACATTCACCAGACCTTCAGACAGCACAACAAACATTCACCAGACCTTCAGACAGCACAACAAACATTCACCAGACCTTCAGACAGCACAACAAACATTCACCAGACCTTCAGACAGCACAACAAACATTCACCAGACCTTCAGACAGCACAACAAACATTCACCAGACCTTCAGACAGCACAACAAACATTCACCTGACCTTCAGACAGCACAAATATTCAACAGACCTTCAGACAGCACAACAACCATTCACCAGACCTTCAGACAGCACAACAAACATTCACCTGACCTTCAGACAGCACAACAAACATTCACCAGATGTAAGACAGCACAACAAACATTCACCAGACCTTCGGACACCACACAAACATTCACCAGACCTTCAGACAGCACAACAAACATTCACCTGACCTTCAGACAGCACAACAACCATTCACCAGACCTTCAGACAGCACAACAACCATTCACCAGACCTTCAGACAGCACAACAAACATTCACCAGATGTAAGACAGCACACAAATATTCACCAGACCTTTAGACAGCACAACAAACATTCACAAGACTTAAGACATCACAACAACCATTCACCAGACCTTCAGACAGCACAACAAACATTCACCAGACCTTCAGACAGCACAACAAACATTCACCAGATGTTAGACAGCACACAAACATCCACCAGACATTTAGACAGCACAACAAACATTTACCTGATCTTCAGACAGCACAACAAACATTCACCAGATGTAAGACAGCACACAAACATTCACCAGACCTTCAGACACCACACAAGCATTCATCAGACTTTCAGACAGCACAACAAACATTCACCAGACCTTCAGACAGCACACAAACATTCACCAGATGGAAGACAGCACACAAACATTCACCAGATGGAAGACAGCACACAAATATTCACCAGACCTTTAGACAGCACAACAGACATTTACCTGATCTTCAGACAGCCCAAATATTCACCTGACCTTCAGACAGCACAACAACCATTCACCTGACCTTCCGACAGCACAACAACCATTCACCTGACCGTCAGACAGCACAACAACCATTCACCTGACCTTCAGACAGCACAACAACCATTCACCTGACCTTCAGACAGCACACAAACATTCATCCAATTTTAACACAACACAAGAAATGTTCATCAGACTTTCAGACATCATCAAGATTGAAAATTCTATAACCTGGGCATATTGATCTGTAAGCAAGAGATAGAAAGCAGGTAAAGCAGCTAGATAACACACTAGTACTCTAATATTACAACGGAGGATTTGTCAATGACTTCAGGTTTCTATATTACAACGCAAACCTCAAATACAAACAGATGACACTTCTTAGAGAACTATACTAACTAGTCTCTAAACATACAGTTATAATTTGTCAGATTTTGGTAGAGAGGATGACACTTCTCAGAGAACTGCAACATTTAGTTTCAAATCACATCGTAATTATTTGGCAGATTTGATAGAACAAATGTCAAGTGCTTGTATACAAAGGTTCATTGTAATACAAAGCCACACCCACAAAATTTATAAATACTACCATGGTAACTTGATCCTGTGAGGGCGGGGAGCCCAAACCCAGGTGAGCATATCTCGCCTAGCAAATAAATGCAAATCAAGTCAAGATTTAAGCACAATGAATTGCTATATGACTGTTATAAGTAAGATATAATAAGAAGCTACTGTAATTGTAACGAATGTGGGGTTTCATTTAACACCATCAGACAACAGATTTTTAAGTTGCTCATTGACGCTTAAAATGCAATATTATTCTCTCTGTATATTTATTTTAATAATTTGATCTCTCTTTTGATTTTTTTTTTTTTTTTTAACCCTGTACACAAGTTATAATTATGTGATTTCCGATTATCATGAACAAACGGTCAGATGATTTTGCAGTCATATTGCAAATCCGAATGGAAAAACAAACATATCATTGAGTATGATAATTCATGTGTATTCACAATGCATGTAGTAATTATAAAGCATTATGAACCAGCTTAACCCATGCAAATTTGTTAGTATCTGTGCATTTTCATATCGATTTTGAGGTCATATATTTCATTTGACTAATATTACATGTTTCCACTCTATTTTTAGAAACAGTTGGAATTCTTTTCAGATCTAAGCAACTTGCCTTTCCTGAACACGCCATGAACACGCCATCAGTCTTTTTGCCACAGATTAAAGACTTTATGAAACATATCCTTTATTAGTTTATATGCTAATATTCATTCACACGCCATTGACATTTTGAGACTATATTTGGAAAGTCATTTAACTCATTCACCCCTGAAGACACATTTGAACTCTTGCAATTCAAAAGTTGGATTAGTTCATTATGAAATTTCAGGGGTAAATGAGTGAGGGTTGTATGATTTGAATGTCAAAGTTGAACAAACCAGAGGGTGCTTCAGTGAAAAAGATCAACACTATTTCAAAAGGTTCTTAAAATCACCCGAGCTATTTCTTAAAATTCAAGGCACATTAAAAATTCTCCATTTCATAATGTGGATACATTTCTTCATAGCAAAACTCAACAGACTTCAGGATTTGGTTACAGATAAACTGTTTCATGCAAGAGCCATGCTAATGCAGAATATATTGCATGGTGGCACGAGTCAGGAAATGGCAGGGTTTCTTAAGGGTAAATGTAGAGTTATATGCAAGAGTTATATGCATCTAAAAGAACACATAAGTATATTTTATGGAGTTTTTATTCATGGCAGTACCTACCATGAGGAAGGAATCAACAGGAGGACTGGAGGCAAGGTAAAAGTCCTGTATCTCGGAGTCAGCAGCTGTAAGAATAAATCCAATCAACCTCAATGCATTCAACAATCATCAAGAAAAGACACTTCATTTGTGCATCTTAACACTTCTCCCCCCATTTTCATTTTCAAACACAGAATGTTTTCTTGGTTATTTCATGAGTGCTTTGCATAAAGAGATACACATATATAAATAAGTACTAATATACAAACTTAGCATCATAGCCCTACAAGATAAGCCATGTTCATCAGACAGACAATGGATCCTTACTTCAGCTTATCACAGAGGCTGCACAGAGACATGTACAATGTAACCTGTACACCCGACCTTAGGTACCTAACTCTGTCAACTAACCACAGGGGCTGCACAGTGACATATACAGGGGCTACACAGTGACATGTACAATGTAACCTGTACACCTGACCTTAGGTACCTAACTCTGTCAACTAACCACAGGGGCTACACAGTGACATGTACAGGGGCTACACAGTGCCATGTACAGGGGCTACACAGTGACATATAGGGGCTACACAGTGACATATACAGGGTCTACACAGTGACATATACAGGGGCTTCACAGTGACATACAGGGGCTACACAGTGACATATACAGGCGCTACACAGTGACATATACAGGGGCTGCACAGCGACATATACAGGGGCTACACAGTGACGTATACAGGGGCTACACAGCGACATATACAGGGGCTACACAGTGACATATACAGGGGCTACACAGCGACATATACAGGGGCTACACAGAGACATGTACAATGTAACCTGTACACCCGACCTTAGGTACCACATATACAGAGGCTACACAGGGACATATACAGGGGCTACACAGCGACATATACAGGGGCTACACAGTGAGATATACAGGGGCTACACAGTGTAAACTGTACACCCGACCTCAGGTACCTAACTATGTAAGCTGTACACCCGACCTTGGGTACCTAACTCTGTCAACTAGCCACAGGGGATACACAGTGACATATACAGGGGCTCCACAGTGACATATACAGGGGCTCCACAGTGACATATACAGGGGCGACACAGTGTAAGCTGTACACCCGACCTTAGGTACCACATATACAGAGGCTACACAGTGACATATACAGGGGCTACACAGTGTAAGCTGTACACCCGACCTCAGGTACCTAACTCTGTAAGCTGTACACCCGACCTCAGGTACCTAACTCTGTCAACTAACCACAGGGGCTACACAGTGACATATACAGGGGCTACACAGTGTAAACTGTACACCCGACCTCAGGTACCTAACTCTGTAAGCTGTACACCCGACCTCCGGTACCTAACTCTGTCAACTAACCACAGGGGCTACACAGTGACATATACAGAGGCTAGACAGTGACATATACAGGGGCTACACAGTGACATATACAGGGGCTACACAGTGCAAGCTGTACACCCGACCTCAGGTACCTAACTCTGTCAACTAACCACAGGGGCTACACAGTGACATATACAATGTAAGCTGTTCACCTGACCTTAGGTACCTAACTCTGCCAACTTACGAAAGGGGCTACAAAGCAATACACATGATAACAGCTAGACACTAGGCCAATAATGAATATTTACTTTCATCAACTTACATTTGGCCTACACAGTGACCTATACAGGGATAAACCCAATGTAACCTCTACACCCGACATAAGATCCTTACCCCAATCAACTTATCATAGAATCTACACAGTTACTGACACAAACAACAGACACAACTGATACTTGCCTTCATCAGCTATTCGGTTATTATCCAGGATTAAGTGATAGGCTATGTTGAGCTGATCGTACCGATCTCCGCTCATGAGGGCTCTGTTCACTTCCATTTCTGTCACATTGAATTTCTACAAAATAACATCACATTGTAGCAATACTAAACTGTGTCAATTTATCTTAACATCAAATATCATTTTACATAGAAAGTTGGAAGTTTGTTGTACATACAACAAAATTATATTAAGTTTTAAATTATTTCCTTTGGCAAAACTGAAGTGATACAGCAGAATAATGTTTTTTTTTAAATTTTTTGTCTAATAATGACTTGAGTTGATCAATAATTACAGCTTCAACACGATTCTTAATCTATTGATTTGAACATTCAAATGTTTTCAAAAGATGATGAGCACGTATGATTTAAGATCAAATCTGGCAGGCATGATGTACAAAATCCTGATGCTCAGTGCCAGTAATGACTTTATACCACGTACTGATGGCTCATGTCTGGTGATCTGTTACAGACTTACCTCACATATTTCCCTCACGACGTCGTAGTCTACAATGGAGGCATCTTGGTCATTATCTGAAGGAAACAGGTAATTGGGTACATCGTCCTTAAACCAATCGTGTTCCCTGAAATCAATAGCAGAGTCTACATATTGGTATGAATACTTATAAATATTTTAGGAGAAAGCACCCTCCCCTTAACAGAGTGTAGACATAAATTAATAGTGAAGTCTTTTTGCACTCAACTGACTGTTATAAATGATGGATCTTATTAAAATTATATTTCCGATGAGAATTCTGCATGGCTCTGCCAAGATGGTATTGTCAAATCTTTGTAACGTAATGATGTCAATGTCAAATCCCTGTGAAATTTCAGCTTTATACAACACAGTGCCGTGGCATGCCTCAAACTCGCAACCCTCCGGTCACGAGCCCGGCGTCCTACCACTAGACTACCGTGCTTTCATATCACTGTCAAATCTTATCTTCATTGTTCAACCGTTTTAGGTAAATCCTTAAAATTGAAAAACAATTACTGATAGTCCTGGTTATCTGGTATTCCAGAAGTTGACCACCAATGCACATATCAGAGAACTAACTTAAACGCAAAAACTGAATGCTGATGGAGATGCTGACAAAGTCAATGGACCATGAAAGGTAGGCCGCATCCAGCATTTGATGCATGGGTTGAGATGTACTACCTAAGATGCATCTATGGTCCCAGTTTGGATGGTCTAGCACTTGCACTTTCAGTGAAACTAACTTAAACGCGAAATGTTGACGCTGTCGCTGGATAAGCAACACCTTAGTCTTGCGTCCACTTGGTGGCGGCGAGACAAAAACTACCTGACCAACGTTCTGCATAACTTACCTGATACCTTTGATTGTGGCTCGCTTTAACGGGTCAACCTGTAACATGAGACAGAGTAAGCTGACCACTTCCTTGTTGAGGTACTCAGGTATAGCAAATATACCAGCTGTAATTACAACAAAGTAACAATTTAGATTTCAAGAGTTAAATGTATAAATCCATACTCACATAAAACACTTTTTCACCTTGTCCTTTACAAATAACAATTACCCATTTTCAGTTTATATTTTCTTTTATAAATGTATGTGATTCTGATAAAAAAAAAAAGAGTGATGGAAAATTAAGACATTGAAAATTTCATATCATTCATAAATAGGTTTTATAACTGTATTTGTTACTAAAGAAATCTCTCTGAAAAGTAGACAATTTATCTATTGTCGGGTTCGGTGATCAAAAATTGGATGACAGGTAATAAGAACCAATTTGTACAATAATATACACTACAGTACACTTACATTTTATTTTTCTAAATAAGGTAGGTACATGCTCATCATCAAAAGGCAGCTGAAAAAAACCCAAAAAAACTCAAAACTGATTGTAATAAATATCCAGAAAGATATGAACACTGACATAAACAAACAACTCTCCTGAAAATTTGCTTTAATCATAAATATGAGTTCATGTGCTGATTGAGATGTTCAGTAAAGTCTGCGATAATTGCTACTAAGTATACTGTCACAGTGGGAATCATGAATTTATTTCAAAGTACAGACAAAGGGTATCAACATTTTCCAGAGTTGGTACCATTGACAATTTTCTGTACTAATTTTACGGCACAATTCATTGCCTACATTCTTCCTTAATTTACTCAGTCTGAGCAGATTAGCAACAGCTGGTGTTTCACCAGATACAGAACCTGCACATATTAAGGGCATAGGTGTCAGCCACTGAAACCTTCAATGAGGGAGATCTCCCTCCTTCCACATTTCCAATGAGGTAGAAAGTGCGTGAAACTGCTTTGTTCAATATATCTTTCCCTTTTCATGTATCAAAATAACTCCAAAAAGCATTCACTTGATTCAAACATAACTGTAATGATCATTACACACACACTGCATCAACTAAGAGATCATTTGACCACAAGAAGTAGATATTGAGTTTGTGAGAGTTTGGACTTGAATAAGGGAGTTTCGAGGGATATTGCTGATTTTTTGTCAAAATGAGGGAGTCTGCCTCCTATTGAGGGAGGGTTGACAGCTATGTAAGGGATTCTACTTAGTATCATGTTGTTTTATGTCACTTTTCACTCAGTTTAATTTAAATGTTTTCTAGAAACACTGTTTTTTTCTTCTATATTTTTTCCAAGGTAATGTTGCCCTCTTAATGTCACTTAGTATGAGGTGTTTTATATCACTTCATTAAGACTGTCACCAAAATAATTCCGATGAATATTTACCCATTTTCAGGTACCCCAGTCACTTCGATTTCAAACAGTGAGTTTTTGGTCTCGCCTGGGCACATTATGTAAATATTGCCGCAGTTTAACATTTGTCATAGAAAATACATGTAATTATCATAAAGCTATATCAGCATTTAGGCAACAAAAATTGTGTGCCAAAATACTACATAAACTACTTACAGTTCCACAAAGTAGGGCATATAAAATAACACCACAACTCCATATGTCAACTTCAGGCCCCGCATACAATCTGAAACAGCAATATCAACCACAATGTCATAGGAAATGTCCACAACGTCATAGGAAATGTCCACAATGTCATAGGAAATGTCCACAACGTCATAGGAAATGTCCACAACGTCATAGGAAATGTCCACAATGTCATAGGAAATATCCACAACGTCATAGGAATTGTCCACAACGTCATAGGAAATGTCCACAATGTCATAGGAAATGTCCACAATGTCATAGGAAATGTCCACAACATCATAGGAAATGTCCACAATGTCATAGGAAATGTCAACAATGTCATAGGAAATGTCCACAACGTCATAGGAAATGTTCACAATGTCATAGGAAATGTCCACAATGTCATAGGAAATGTCAACAACGTCATAGGAAATGTCCACAATGTCATAGGAAATGTCCACAATGTCATTGGAAATGTCCACAACGTCATACGAAATGTCCACAATGTCATAGGAAATGTCCACAATGTCATAGGAAATGTCCACAATGTCATAGAAATTCATACACCAACTTTGGGCCCAGAATCCCAAACCTCAATATCAATCACAACATTGTCACATGTTGTTAAATTCTTTTTTAAATTTCACAAGATATTTATATATATGGGCAATTATGGGTACAAATTATAAATCCAGGTCCCTGAATATTAAAACCTGACCTGTGTTTGATTGTGAATCAGGATGATGTGTGCAGCTTCACTAGATATCACTTGGCAAACAATTCTCCCAAAAAGGTATCTTTAGCAAAATGTTAAATCAATGTTCATGTTATTTTTCAATAACAAACAGAATTGGAATGAGACTTTTTTGTCCACAATTGATGCAAAATTTTGTTATTGTCAGAATGTTGACTGAATTCATTCTTAAGATATATTACATTAAGGAAATAGATCTATATAAAAGTTTTAAAGAAGAGACATCTTGTACAGACATCTCACATTATTTGCTCATTTCATAATTAAGTTTTACCAATGATTTGCTTTCATTTCTGATTTATATTTGCTTACTTTAAAGCAGCTCAACTTCTTTTACAAGCAGTTTTAATGTCTACAAATCTTTTGGAATCATGTCACATATATTGACAGGTACTCGGACCAAAATCAATTCGTAATGGTCCTTATTTATACATGACAAATGTTTTAAAAAATTGTATACATTTTTTCATGAACCAATCGACAAGACACACAGAGTGTGTCTCCTTTTCACTTCTGAAACCTGTTTTATACCATAGCAGTAGCCTAGTTATTTGAAAAGGTTTCCTGTATCTGTGTTAATTATAATAAACTATAATCTGCACAGAAGAACTCACTTTCCCGAGATGACTTCTGGAGCTGCGTAATTTGGTGAGCCACAGCTGGTTCTGAGGAACTCGCCGTCATACATCATGTTGGAGAGCCCTGCAAACAGAACCATGTCTATCATTATCTCATGTCACCGTGGTTAAAATACTAGCTGCTTCCTACCGCCTCGGTTAGGGAGAATTTCTCTTTAGCTCATTCAGTAGAGCACAAAGCTTACCGGTAAGACTAATTCCCAGTTTTGACTTTCGGCGGAGGAATTGAATAAATAATTACCTCTGTTACATATCATTTCCTATAAAACAGTTGAAGAGTAGCACCATCCTGTATCGGCCAAAGTCTGGTGTTTATAGACTAATTACAGATACTGTTCAACACAATACCACCTATACCTACCAAAGTCTGCTATTTTGACATTGAGGGTACTGTCGAGCAGCAGGTTCTCTGGTTTTAAATCCCTGTGGACTACCATATGTCTACAGATACTGTTAAACACAACACCACCTTTACCTACCAAAGTCAGCTATTTTGACATTGAGGGTACTGTCGAGCAGCAGGTTCTCTGGTTTTAGATCCCTGTGGACTACCATATGTCGATGGCAGTAGTCAACGCCAGATATGATCTGCTGGAAAAACCGCCTCGCTTCTGGCTCCTTTAACTGTGAAGTAAAACCAGATCCTGTCATTAATATATATAACAGCAAAAGAAGCACTCTGGTTTTAATTTGATTAGAACATTTTAAACATGAAGTTAAGTTAAAGAAATGATTATGATGCATGGTTCTGAAATTTTGTATTTGCTGAAGTCGTTAACTATTACCAGTGTACGCTGATCAGTATATCATCTTATATCAAATACAAACCTTGCCATGTTTAACAATGTAATCGAACAATTCTCCTCCGGCCACATACTCCATCACCATAAAAATGTCTGTGGGTGTGCTCATCACCTGGTATCTGTGAATATAAGAACCATTTCCTGAATTTACATGGTGTGACAACACTTCAAAATTGCATATAAAACTTACAAATAATTACTTGACACAGTTTACGAAGAGAACATAATTTAGATCTTTCTCTTTTGGACACTTGAATCGACATATAATCAAGTTAATTAACTCATTCACCCCTGAAGACATATTTGAACTCTTCCAATTCAAAGGTGAGAATAGTTTATTATGAATTTGCAGGGGTGAATGAGTTAAGCTAGTCCCAACACCAACTCATTTTATCACTCATTTTATCACCTGATGAATTTGACCATTGTAAGATTCAAATATGAGATACATTTCTGTTGAGCATATCTAATGTTTAGTGTACATGTACCATCAGTAGGAAATACTACAGCTCTTAAAACACTCAAATCAGATAAACATTTGGCATGAACCCAAAATTCCTCATTCAAGCAGCTGAAACAGACTCTTAGCTACTAATCTGGAAAAAGGCAATATCTGGAACAGTGCAGAATCTCATTTTAACATATATATATATATAGATCTTCCACCATCAGGACCGTCTGAACTTAGAACTACCTTCCAGAGACAGAAGCTTAAGCCTCTGCCCATCACTGACTGTAACTCTTCAAAACTAGACCATACACTCACTGGACAAATCAAGCAGGGATTTATTATCATAGAGAAGCTATAGCTGTTGCCCAGTAACTAGGCACTCCATGCAACCCACTATGATAGTCACACATATTTAATACACATGTATAAGTAATGTACAGGTAGCTTTGCTGCTTTTAAAAGTCTGACAAGGGATTATATATGATCCTTTGCTGAAAATACACTCTCTTTAAAAAAAGGTTGCTTTAATTTGTACAGTAAAGACTACATGGATGAATGGAGATAACACTTTCCAATCCTAGACTTGTTAATTAGTTAACAGATGATGGACAGACATGACAACTTACAGTTTGATTATATGAGGATGTCTGAATAGTTTAAGATTCTGAATTTCTCGCTTGATCTTGCCAACAACATCAAGATTCTTGATCTTTTGACGATTCAAAATCTTAACAGCCACTTTGTGATTGGTTACATGGTGGGTTGCAACTGAAAAAGAAAAGAAAAAATACATTCATAGTAAGATTGTACCACTTGATGCTGCAGTCTGGCAGTGTATATATATATCAATGACTCCAATAAAAGGTACTGCCATTCATTTTGGTCGGCTGGCTCATAAATGATTTTTAAAAATGAATGCTTTTACATTGCACCTCTAGTCTATCAGAAAGTCAATTTACAAGCATAAGAGGCCCAATGATTTTGAACTCACACTAGGATATTTTGGAAATGAGGTTGAAATCTTCTCAGAAGTTTTGGACGAAACCCTCCCCCCAATCAAACTTCTTGGATTAATGAAGACCACCATATAATGAATAGCTTTTGATTCTCAATGGCGCAGAATGTAACCTAGTATTTTCTGTCTTGTTCTCAATAATTTAATTTCTATGCTCAAGTCATATCAATGAAAGATTTTGCGCTCAAGGTTTGAGCATTGATCATGTTCTCAAAGATTTCTTGATATCTGACTTCTTTTTGACCTCATACTCTCAACCCCAATCAACACAATACATTATTTCCGTGCAACTCTCAGATTTTTTGGGTGTATACCGAAAGTACATATGGCCCCACCATGTACAGAAAAATGCTTAGTACTGTTGGAAATGTGGATACATTTTCTTTTAAGACCTCCTATATGCACTTAAAATGTGTTCTCCTTCCGCGGACATGATCTATGTTTCCTTCAAAAACACATGCCATTTCAGAGTTTCAAAGTTTTTCGCAGTCATCGAACCACTTTATGTATTTTTAAATGAGTTTAACGTCAGCCTCTTGCCGACATCTGTTGTATGATTGGCTGGAAGCAAAGCCATTGTTTTGCTTAAATTACCAGCCAACCAACACTGCATGTTTCGGTATGTGGCCGACGTCAACCTAATTAAAATACAAAAAGTGGCTCGATGACTGCGAACAACTTTGAAACTCTTGTGAAATGGCACAAGTTTTTGGAGGAAACGGAGAACATGTCCGTGTAAGGAAAATACATTTTACGTGCATATAGGAGGTTTTAAAAGAAAAAATATACATATTTCCAAGGGTACTTAGCATTTATCCATACATCAGCTAGAAATATTGTTTTTGACGCAATAAAGTTAGTTGGGGTCTACTTTTCGACATCGACAGCTTTCCACCCTTCTTGTATATAAGCATTGCATGGGGTGTCATTTTTACCAAAAGTTGATCTAAACCCCTAAAACATGTAAAAGTACTCTAAACACCTTAGTTAAGTTCCAATTATAGCTGTAACAAATTCTCAGGTCCCAGTGATTTTAGCTAGAATAAAAGCAGATCTTTCACTTGTGGTTTTGATATCTGGTGTCATGAGAAATCATGCTACAACACATTTTTTCGTTAATATTGTTTGACAGCAAATATGCATTTGTAACAGAGCGAGCAACCTCTTGTAATTATGTAGCAGGGCAAACAGAACTGTCAATGGCTCCATTGTACAGGTTGGGCACAACGGCGCATATGGGTAATAATCCTGCATTTGGATAACATCTTTGTATGTTGGGGTTGAATGCACTTCGAATCTACTTTCACTATCCCATATAAAAAATCAAAATTTTGTACTTCATTTACGTTATTGAAAATCGCCATATCTATTGGTTATTACAAACACCTTTTGGTTGAACAGTTTTTGATTTTGAAAGTATTTCACGACCTTTGAAGCCTTAGAAAAGATGGGACATCTAAAATCACGAAAATGTCAAAACACGAAAAAACGTTCAACCAAAAGTTGTTTATAATAACCATATAAATAGCGATTTTTAATAAAGATAGTGAAGTACAAAATTTTGATTTTTTTATATAGGATAGTGATAGTAGATTCGAAGTGCATTCAACCATAACATACAAAGATGTTACCCAAATGTGCCCAACCTGTTGTATGTTTACAATTTAATTCGATAAATAAATGCATACTACGAACGTTTACCTGTTGATTTACTGACGAGCTAATTAACAATAACGTCCGTATATTGAATCAGTAGACAATACTCATATTTAGGTGGCAAATTACATTTGTTTAATCAGTTTAAATTACATAAATGAATTATAATGACACCAGAAACAAACAACATGTTTGCGTGACCTCCCAAATGTAAACAATGTCATCTTGGAAAGTTGCCTTTGCCCTCGTCGCAATTCGGGCAGTAATTATATTGTAATTCAAGTAAATCTATCATAAAGGTAAAAAAATATCAATATAAACCAGCATACTTTTAACTTTCCCAAAGGTTCCAACGCCGAGCGTATCTCCCAGAATATAATGACCGATTTTTATCTGAGGTGCAGTTTTCTCCGCCATGTTTACAGTTTATCCTCGCGGATGGCGAGTCTGTAACCAGAATATCCAGGGGCGTAGCTCAGGACTTGCGCGTTTGGGGCACGTATGGCACTAATTTCCAGGTGCAATATCTATTTGCACATTTTACGTCTTCATATCCCCAATAAAAAAGTTGTCAGTGTTGATTTTCATCCTCCGACGTTCACATTGACATGTGCCAGATCAACAACATGGACGTCATATGGGCCTCCTCAATCTGTCATCCAATCAAATTACACAAGAGTGGCTCCGGAAATAAATCGCAGAGGTGAAGGTCATTTGCATGCAGCGTACAAAGATACACAAACCCGAATATGTTCAGTAGCCAGGAACAATTAGACAAAAAGACTGGTGAATATGGCATTGGAAGATTTAATTATTTGCAATCGCTTGTCACTGAGTTTCAAGACACAGACAGCAATGGTTAGTAATCAGTAAATCGATTGAATATATGCTGTCTGACTTATAATGGGAGTTGCATCCCTTACTCTACACTGTACTGTATAGTACAGTAAGATTTTTTAAGGACTTTAAAATTTAAAGCTTTTATGAAATATGACAATTATACATAATGTAGTACATGTACATTGCACGAGACGGATCAATGTTGTGTCCCGAGGAGATCAGATAAACGAATGGTAAACTATGAGGAAAAGTGCAATGATTGCAGCAAGGAATATACATAAATTTCTGGACCAAGACTTAAAAAAGCTCTTATCAAGAGAGGTTGAACAGATCTAGATTTCATCAGAATTTTGTATGACGTATAACGTTTAACTATATACTGGTTTTATTTGTCTCTGAGTAACCCTTTGGCAAATTGACAATGAAGGTTGTGTTTACCCACTCCTAACTATAATCAGGGACGTATATATACTGTCCCTGCTATAATGTATCTATGTATCTACAGAAAGCCTGATGAGTAATTAACCTTTTTTATTCTATATAAAACTTTTTTTTTCAGAAAGCAAGCAGCAAATCATAGCTAATTTAGCAAATTTTGCATATGATCCCATAAACTATGGACACTTTCAAGTACTGAATATTGTGGATCTTTTCCTTGGTAAGTTCTCAAAATATATGTATGTTCAAAAACAATCTAAATTAATTAATTTTTGTCACAATCAGATTGAGATTTTGTTGTTGTTAAGATGACAATTATTTTTTCTAGAAAAATGGTTTAAATTTGAACAACTAAAACAAATAGTTTGTTCAATAATAATCCATGTACAAGTGTATTTTTAATCAATTGTGCTGAAGTATATAGGGCTAATATGTTGAAGATATTTTGAATTATAATCAATTAAATTTGTTTATCCATATTTCTTTTCTTACTAAAAATGATATTTGCTTGATAATACCAAACTGAAGGAATTAAACTCAAATTGTTGGCTTCAATGAAGAATACTGACAATTCATTTTTAAATGTTTTGTAAATAATAAGTATTCATACAAATATTTCAATCATTGAGTCAAAGGAACAACAATTGATTTATATTTTGACCAGATACTTTAGAAGAACCTGATGAAAAGCTGGTAGAATATGCCATAGGAGGAATATGTAACTGCTGTTTAGGTAAGAAGGTGACATCAGTTTTACAGATAATGTACACGAACAAGTACTTTATATTTCTTAAACATTTTCATGAAAACAAAAATGAAGACATGAGTGATTTGGTCTTATAAATGATTAATGAACATTCAATTGAGTTTATTTGATCTGGCATCTTAAAATTAATAAAATTGAAAAAAAGTTATAATGTTTTATTTACTCTGATAGATAAGAAGATCAAACAGCAGATCATACAACATGAAGGAGTGAAGCTTGTCGCTGGGTGTCTGTCTAGGTGAGTGGACAGTCCTTACCTGTATTGTGTTATCTCCCCTGTTTATAAAGCTTGTCACTGGTTGTCTGTCTAGGTGAGTGGACAGTCCTTACCTTTATTGTGTTATCTCCCCTGTTTATGAAGCTTGTTACTGATTGTCTATCTAGATGAATGGATAGTCCATACCTGTATTGTGTTATCTCCCCTGTTTATGAAGCTTGTCTCTGATTGTTTGTCTAGGTGGGTGGATAGTCCATACCTGTATTGTGTTATCTCCCCTGTTTATGAAGCTGGTCACATTCCTTACCTGTATTGTGTTATCTCCCCTGTTTATGAAGCTTGTCACTGGTTGTCTGTCTAAGTGAGTGGATAGTCCATACTTGTATTGTGTTATCTCCCCTGTTTATGAAGCTTGTCACTGATTGTCTATCTAGATGAGTGGACAGTCCATACCTGTATTGTGTTATCTCCCCTGTTTATGAAGCTTGCTCTGGTTGTCTGTCTTGGTGAGTGGATATATAGTCAATACCTGTATTGTGTTATCTCCCCTGTTTATAAAGCTTGTCACTGATTGTCTGTCTTGATGAGTGGACAGTCCATACCTGTATTGTGTTATCGCCCCTGTTTATAAAGCTTGTCACTGGTTGTCTGTCTTGATGAGTGGACAGTCCATACCTGTATTGTGTTATCTCCCCTGTTTATGAAGCTTGCTCTGGTTGTCTGTCTTGGTGAGTGGATATATAGTCAATACCTGTATTGTGTTATCTCCCCTGTTTATGAAGCTTGTCACTGATTGTCTGTCTTGATGAGTGGACAGTCCATACCTGTATTGTGTTATCTCCCCTGTTTATGAAGCTTGCTCTGGTTGTCTGTCTTGTTGATTGAGTGGATAATTCTCGCCTGTGTTGGAGTTGTCTCCCCTGTTGTTATACTAAGTGACCTTGAGCAATATATATAAAATTGTTACTTTCTGTAAAATATAGATGTTTACTTCATCATGTCAGAATTTAGTCTTTGTAAATTTTGAAACATTATTTTAAATGTTATGAAATAATTTGTATTGTTTTGTTTCCAAGTCCTAATGAAGAAACTGTGTTATCAACAATCACAACACTCATGTACCTTACTACACCTGAATCAAAGAAAGGTAAGGTAGCAATCAGCTTTAAACATCACATTTACACTGCTGTATTGTACTAGGTTCTCATGGAGTTTGAAGGGAAATTTGAAAAAAATATACTAATATAACTGCAAAGTCTACCGTTGTTACAAATGTAGACCTATACAAGTTGACCATAGTTATAAATATGTGTAAAAAATTTAACATTGTTACAAATATATTTACAAAGATGATCATTCTTATAAATACAATTTTGACCATTGTTTAAATATAGATATGAAGCTGATCTTTACAGATGTACATAAAAAGTTGACAAAAAGTCGAAAGAAAACTGTAAAGTTGACCGTAGTTGAGTAGTTATAAATAAAGATGTATAGTTGACATTTGTGCTCCTTTTTTTTCCAGAGATTACAGCTTTGCCTATTGTAGAATGTATGCTGAGGTTTTCTGAGGCTAATAACAAGAGACTAAGTAATCTGGCCAAGGTTTTTCTCAAGGTAAAACTTTTAAAGGACATTGTTGGTGTACAAGGTTAAATCCAAACATTGTGGGAAGATGTCACCAGGTGAGATCGAAAGCTGTACACGTGTACAAGTAAATTAAACGTTTTACTCAGTAAAATTTTATTTTAAAGGTATATCTCACAGGCAAAATTTCTTGATGTCAATTTCAGGTCAATTTTACCCGAAAAGAGCAAAAAAGGTCAATTTCAGTTCAAAACTTGACCTCAATTTGTCCCGAAGTTGACATGAAAGTTGTATCTGAATTTACATGAATATTTTTCAGTCAATTTCACCTGAAAATGACTTCAAATTGACATGGAAATTTCACCTGAATTGACATGAAACTAACCTGAAAAAAAAAATTCATGTGAAATTGACCTCAATTTAACATAAATTTTACCTAAATTTGAATTTCTAGTAAGGATTTTTCAGATCAAATTGACATCAAGAAAGTTTGTCTGTGTAAGTGGTCCATTATTTAAGAACCAATGTTTATTACAACGTTTCACCAGATGAAGCCCGCCTGGGAGCTTTCCTGATTATTTTCTCTCTTTTCCTTTAGGATTATTGCTCAGTTAGTCAGCTGGATGCAGCGAAACAGATACAACAGCAGATGTCAGGTTTAAGTCAGTCAAGTGAGGACACTTGATGAAACAGCCAAGCATGTTCAACATCAGATGTTAGGTCTTTCTCAGTCTAGCAAGGACATGTGAAGAAACAGCAGTTCCATGTCAGTGCAATGATGACCCCTGTTAAAAATTCCAAGCCTGCACAACATCAGTTAGCAGCTTAAAGTCAATCTACTGAAGACACCAGATGAAAAAGCCAAATATGACCAACAACATACATTAGTTGTCAGGTCAGCGTCAGTCTTGTGATGAAACGGCCAAACATATACAACATGAGTTGTTGGGTCAGAGTCAGGCTAGTGAGGACAGGTGATGAAACAGCCAAACATGTACAACATCAGTTGTTGGGTCTGAGTCAGGCTAGTGAGGACAGGTGATGAAACAGCCAAACATGTTCAACATCAGTTGTTGGGTCAGAGTCAGGCTAGTGAGGACAGGTGATGAAACAGCCAAACATGTACAAAATCAGTTGTTGGGCCAGGCTAGTGAGGACAGGTGATGAAACAGCCAAACATGTACAACATCAGTTTTTGGGTCAGAGTCAGGCTAGTGAGGACCCATGATGAAACAGCCAAACATGTACAAAATCATTTGTTGGGTCAGAGTCAGGCTAGTGAGGACAGGTGATGAAACAGCCAAACATGTACAACATCAGTTATCAGGTCCCAGTCTATCTAGTGAGATCTGAATCAGTCTAGCAAGGAAATGTGACGAAACAGCTTAATAATATTTGATATACCAACATCAGCTAGGTGCTCAAAAAGTCTCAATCTGGTGAACCTTTGTTTTATAGTAGTGATTGAGTACATACTGTTTGTCGTGTTCCTACATCAGGTCGTGTGATCAGGTGTATGAGTATGTATTTGTAAGTGTCTCATTCTTATTTTATTGGTCAGTGGTCTTTGTGTGCATTTGGAACTAAAGTGTTGCAGATTTAACAAACAGTCAGCACGATAGACAGGCATTATTCAGTCCAGTCCACAGAGAAAATGAAAGATTTTGTATGTACCAATACATATGTATTTTAAGATAACCTGAATATAAGCGTTATTATTCTTATTGAAATATTTTTGATTATGGAAACTGTTTTGATTAATTTTTATGAAATATCAGTAGATTATTAATTTTTTGTTCATTTTGTGTGTGTATTTTTTCTTTCTAAAGCTGTTTGTCACATTTTTAGGTCACCTGAGACAAAGTCTCAAGTGACCTATTGCGATCGCCTTTTGTCCGTCGTCGTCGGTCGTCCGTCGTGCGTCCGGTGTAGTCCTAAGCCCCCAGGGGCCTGAGGGGCGGGGCCAAAAAGGGTCAAATTGAGTAAAATTTCAAAAATCTTCTTCTCCAAAACCCCTGGACCAATTTCAATGAAATTTTGCAGGGACCTTCCATGGACAAAGGTCAACAAAAATAGTGGCCGGTTTAGTCCCAAGCCCCCAGGGCCCTGAGGGGCGGGGCCAAAAAGGGTTGAATTGACTAAAATTTCAAAAACCTTCTTCTCAAGACCAAGATATGGTAGAATCAAATACTCTTCATAGATGGAAGGGTCTTAAGGTTTATGACCCTAGGGTCTCACGTTTTCCCCCTGGGGAAGGAGGGGGGGGGGGGCAAAATGTATTATGGTTTATAATGGCAAATGATACTTTGAATATTACATGTTAATAACTTGATTGGAATTATAACCTTGAATTGACAGTTTGATACTTTGAAAATTTTGAGCCAGCCCTACCCCCAAGGGCTGTAGGGTGGGGCTCAAAGGAGTCAGTGTGCTAAAATTTCTTCATTTTCTTTGTTAAGAATCAGAGATGCTAGTTTCAAATCCTTTTTAGTCTGAAATCTGTATGCTAGATATTGAGTAAGGTGATTTTAAAGCTGTTTGTCACATTTTTAGGTCACCTGAGACAAAGTCTCAAGTGACCTATTGCGATCGCCTTTTGTCCGTCGTCGTCCGTCGTGCGTCCGTAAACAATTTACCTTTTCGACTTCTTCTCCAAAACCCCTGAACCAATTTCAATGAAATTTTGCAGGGACCTTCCATGGACAAAGGTCAACAAAAATAGTGGCCGGTTTAGTCCCAAGCCCCCAGGGCCCTGAGGGGCGGGGCCAAAAAGGGTTGAATTGACTAAAATTTCAAAAACCTTCTTCTCAAGACCAAGATATGGTAGAATCAAATACTCTTCATAGATGGAAGGGTCTTAAGGTTTATGACCCTAGGGTCTCACGTTTTCCCCCTGGGGAAGGAGGGGGGGGGGGGCAAAATGTATTATGGTTTATAATGGCAAATGATACTTTGAATATTACATGTTAATAACTTGATTGGAATTATAACCTTGAATTGACAGTTTGATACTTTGAAAATTTTGAGCCAGCCCTACCCCCAAGGGCTGTAGGGGGGGGCTCAAAGGAGTCAGTGTGCTAAAATTTCTTCATTTTCTTTGTTAAGAATCAGAGATGCTAGTTTCAAATCCTTTTTAGTCTGAAATCTGTATGCTAGATATTGAGTAAGGTGATTTTATTGTTTTTTGTCACTTTGAATAATATTTCTGTTCATGTTAAAAAAGAAATCAACTCTCTGTATAAATATATCAGGTGACCGTTAAGGCCCATGGGCCTCTTGTATGTATATTTTATTGTAAAGCAGTTCTAGATCAGCAAAATCACACTGACAGTCAGGTTAAAGTGATGCCTGTATCAAGATACTGGTCAGGTACTTAATATCATTGTAGATATGAAATAAATTGTATATATTTCATTAAGAAGTTAAAAATAAAATGATGTTCCAAGTAATTTAGATAAATCTATGTGGAATTGAAGCATATATATAATGTTTATATATGTTCAACATCATTCACCTAGACACTTTTAACATACCTAATGACTATGTGTCAGTAACGTGCGGACGGTCGCCCATCCAGCCACTGACCACGCTCGGCGTTGCTGAACTAGTAAGGGCGTGCAAGGTTTGGGAAAGCTAGCTTGCCAGCGAGGCAGTTTTTCCCCTCTCAACCTTGACTGCTAAATATCATTTCTTTGAGTATTGAAAAATGTACATGCATTATTATACATTGGATGGAATAAAGAAGTTGAGAAATTCACAAAACTGACTTTGTTCTAGTGGTACATAGTGAAACCGACGTATCTTTCTTTCGCTGTATCTTTCGCTGTAATTTACAGGGAGTCCAATCGTCATAATTCATCATATCATCTGGTTTAGCTCACGTTGTATATTAACATGGAAACCGCTTTGACAGTGAATGATGACATCTCTAAGGCTGTTGATTAATGAAGTCAAATTAAACCAATTCGAATAGTTTTGGATACCGTAATGCTTTTTGAACTTTTTATAACTTTTGACACTGTAAAAAAATCAGTATTTTTTAGCATATTTTAAATGTTATGTTTTCTTAACCCTGTCACCCCCTAGGTAAATTAAGTAGACTCTGCCATACATTGATCTGGAGGAGTCCATTATGGTCTACAGTGGTGAAAGGGTTAATACTAACTCCTTTGCCCTACACAGCATGCCTGACATGGCTCAACAGTTGCTGGTCGCATTCATAATTTATCCCATTGAAGTCAACACTTGTTCATGGTTATATGAGGTGTCATTATCTGTTGAAATATATTGTTTTAATGTGTTTTAATTCAGTTTACTAACCTTATGGCACTAGAGTAGAGTATCGGTTATCCGTTTGTCTATTGTGTGAACATTTTCATTTTAGGGACGTCATCAATTTCCACTGTCATATGACATAGATAAACACTTTAGGATTGTTTGACGTATTCAAATACATGTATAGGCATTTTGTGTGTTTGGAAATCTTCATTTCTACTCCAGTAGATATTACCTGCCGTCTGCTAAGTGAATATGGAATACAAACTAAAAAAAAACCAGAAGAAGTCGTTTAAAGGAAAAATTGAGTTATGTTAGGTGGATTCGAATGTTTACTTTAAAATGCACCATTAGCAACTGCGAGGGTAGTTTGGTAAACAATGATTGCAGTAAGAGCAAGCTAGTGGATGGCTTACCAGTTTTCAAATATAGGCATTTTTGTGTATTTGGAATTCTTCATTTTAACTCTGTAGAAATCGCCTGCCGTCTGCTAAGTGAATATAGAATACAAACTAAAAAAAAAGAACGTAAAAATATGTGATCATTTGAATTTTATTAAAATAAAACTATTCTATAACAACCACCGGGATATTAACATCATATATAAATGTTCATTCGTTCTGTTGTAGTTTACATAATTTTATCAACATGATTAACATAGTTGAAAAGTCATATATATATCTATTTGTTGTCCGATTCAATATCACCACAATTTAATTGTAATATTGAATCCACTCAATTCGTGAAATAATTAGTCTGGTTGGACACTGTTGTCAGTGGGTGCAGAGCTGTAATGTCTCATTGTCCGACGGACCAAGAACCAGACTTCGCAAATTGTTTCGCTATCATGAAGGGAGGGGGTTGACACTCGTTGACGAACATGCTGTGATGTGCTACTGTTTTTGATGTTTTTATTAACTCCAAGTCGAACTACATATGTAACAATATTGTAATTCCAATTTAGCGTGAGATAAAATATTAATACTACGTCATCACCGATATTTTTTTTTAAAGCAGCCACTGCAAATGTTCTTTCTTGTTATATGTTTACGAGGAGATTATAAACGGATATGATTTTTCATCGCCTCACCTACCAGATGCTGGATTTACAGTTACACACAAAAATAGCATCTCTATAAGGAGGTATTGGTATACTATTCTCCCACCCTTCACAGGTGTGTCTCCCGTTTTAGCCGGGAAAGATCAGCTTGTCATCCCCTAGGGGGAGATAGCCTCGTGTCCATTAGCACGTGTTCAATTGTGACGTCATTAAAATATGTCACCGGTAATTGTGACGTCATCAAAAGTGAATGATGAGATTCAGTTTACAAACAGACAACTGTCGGTGGAGTTGTGACTGAAATAAGAGGATGGGAGAAAAATAAACATACCCTACCTTGAGGGTGTAACAGAGAAATCCCAATTCCCTCGGGGTGATTTTTTGATTGTCTAACCTTCGGCAAAGCCTCGGGTTAGACAACCAAAAATATCACCCCTCGGGTTGGGGATTTCTCGGTCACACCCTCAAGGTAGGGAAAGATTCTATTATTCTTATCTTGACGACATAACCTACGCATTGCATTAAGTCTTGATTAAAAAATAATAACTGCATCCCTTTGTAAGGATGGAAATACATATTTTATAAGATTATAATGGTATGAAACTCTATCGATTGCAAACATATTCCGCTGCTTGATGCGCTGTAGTGCACCATGCAGGGTTCTTCTTCCACGGTTCTGAAGATTTTGGCCTATGGACTTAACAAGATGCTTTCCTGTAGTGCTTTTATATGGAGTTTATTACATATCATGTTAGTTGTAATGATGAGCATTTATTTGTGATGTTGTGTAGCTGTTTGTGATGTTATGTGGTTTTGGTTGTTGTTATGATGTGTAGTTGTTTGTGTTGTTCAGTTGTTTTGGTTGTTGTTGTTGTTGTTGTTGTGATGTGTAGTTGTTTTGGTTGTTTTGTTGTGGAGTTGTTTTGGTTGTTGTTATGTTGTGTAGTTGTTTTGGTTGTTGTTGTGATGTGGAGTTGTTTTGGTTGTTGTTGTTTTGTTGTGTAGTTGTTTTGGTTGTTGTTGTGTTGTGGAGTTGTTTTGGTTGTTGTTATGTTGTGGAGTTGGTTTGGTTGTTGCTATGTTGTGAAGTTGTTTTGGTTGTTGTTGTGATGTGGAGTTGTTTTGGTTGTTTTTGTGTAGTTGTTTTGGTTCTTGTTGTTATGTTGTGGAGTTGGTTTGGTTGTTGTTATGTTGTGAAGTTGTTTTGGTTGTTGTTGTGATGTGGAGTTGTTTTGGTTGTTTTGTTGTGGAGTTGTTTTGGTTCTTGTTGTGATGTGTAGTTGTTTTGGTTGTTTTTGTTATGTTGTGGAGTTGGTTTGGTTGTTGTTATGTTGTGTAGTTGTTTTGGTTGTTGTTGTGATGTGTAGTTGTTTTAGTTGTTTTTGTTATGTTGTGTAGTTGTTTTGGTTGTTGTTGTTGTTGTGATGTGTAGTTGTTTTGGTTGTTGTGATGTGTAGTTGTTTTGGTTGTTGTGATGTGTAGTTGTTTTGGTTGTTGTTGTGATGTTTAGTTGTTTGTGATGTTTAGTTGTTTGTGATGAGTAGTTTTGGTGTTTTTTTTTTGTCGTGATGTGTAGTTGTTTTGGTTGTTGTTGTGTGGTTGAGGTTGATCTTCGAGTTGGATTGAGTGTTGTTCTTTCGATCGCAGTTGAATGCTGCTGAGCAGCTGCCACGGGCTTCCTCCACAGACTGACTGACCAGAGGCAGGCTGCTAGTAGTAGTAGTGTGTAGGTGGAAGGGCAGGAATGTCATCTCACTGAAACGAAACAGCCAATGGTTCGCCATTTCAAAATCTGGTACTGTTTATATTTCATGTATAAGATGACAATAAACTGTTGAACAAGCCTTGAATGGATTTAGATAAATTTATTGACTGTATTCAAATGTTATACTTAACAATTGATCAATTTTTGATAGATTTAAATAAATTAATTGATTTTATTAAAGGTTTGTTCTAAACAGTTGTACATGTTTTGATTTGATTTAAAATAACGTATCTATTGTATCAAAGGCTTGTACTAAACAGTTGAACTAATTTTGATTTGATTTGATTTAAATTAATTTACTGATTGTATGTAAGGCTTAAAAAACTAAACAGTTGTACAAATTTTGAATTGATTCAAATTAATTTACTGATTGTATTAAATGTTTATACAAAACATTTTAACAAGTTTTTTTATTTTATTACACTTTGTAACTAATTGATTTTCGTGGAGATAATCACGCCCCTTCTATTGTACTGCTGTTTTAGTTCGGCTGTTTTCTTTTCGCATCACCTTCATTAAAGATATTTTCTCCATGTTAGCGCTGTGGTTAAAGATTTTTTGATTTGTTTTTAATTCATAAATATTTGTATTCGAAAAACAGAAAAATACATCTATTTGTTTGGATGAATGTAATACTATGATTGTTACCGCATATTGACCTACCTTGCCGATTGCACAGAAAGGTGGTTTGAAACCATGTTGACATTGGCACCTGTTCGGTTTAACGCACTGTCCTCCGTTTTGACAGGGCTGGTTACAGATTGCTAGAATATAGACAGGCTGAGATGTATCAAGTACATCTTACTAGTAACACTTGTCAATCATTTCAAAATTGTAAATAGAATCACAAATATTTACCGTCAAAGTTGGTTTCCAGTTATCTTGTTATTTGTGATGCAATATTGCCTGCTTCAAGAAAGGAGATTAATTTTGGAACGGTCTTCGAAACAATAAAAGTTCTGGACTGAACTTTCAACGATCCACTAGTTCTATATTTGTGCGAATTTGTAAAAAAAAAATATATACTGATAATCGGAAAACAAACTCAAAGAAATAATTTGTCGTCAATCCCATGTTCTGATGAAACATTCAAAGCAAACAAACTGGACATTTAAAGGGTCCTGCTCAACGTGTACAGCAAATACACTGTAGAGTATATATCACTGCACCAAACATATGATTAATTCCTTAAAACTGGTTTGCTCCTAGAATTTGCCACTCTCCACAAAAAGCTAGTATGCAGACTTACGTTTTTGACATCTGACGCCGGTGTAAGCCGAAGGACACGAACATTGATATGGTGCCGTACATCTTCCACCGTGTAAGCATGGCAAAATACACAGGGCTGAAACACATCAATAGGAACACACTGACGGAACATCCTGCTGCTGGCCTCCCTTTCACGAAACATTAAACTAAGACTGTTTCCCCGGGGGAAAACATTGCTTAAATTGAGAATGACAAAGAGTTCGCGAATATGGAACATGGTTGTAGAAATATTAACGTAAGCGATATAAGGTAAAGTATTAATAAAGAAATACAAAATGATGTTTCTCCAGAGTGTGACCCCTATACGCTTAAATACAAGACGGCACGTCTTTACTGTTCTCTATTGTGACTTGGCGAAGGTCAAGGTTACTAGATGTACAGTGCGTCACATAGGGTTACACATTAACGTCAATTTCAAGAGAACATTTTGGTTTAGCTGGGTGAGATACTGCTCATATTTTGTTGAGTTTGTAAAGACAACTCACCCTTTTCACATCGCCTACCGCCATAACCGGTGGGGCATTTGCATCCATACAAACCGAGGCAATGTCCTCCGTTGAAACATCCACCTTTACAAGGAACTGTAGCAGCATAACGAACAGTAATTATGTGTCAACAACAGGGAAAAGGAACAGTTATACTGTGTCAACAACATGATAAAAAAATAAGAGAAAAATTATTTCAACAACTGGAAAATAGCTGATGTATTACTGTGTCAAAGATTTTTTCATAATTGAAAAGGTATTCACATTACATAATTTGTATTTACATTAAACTCCGGAATCTCGCCTTTGAAATTGTAAGGCTATATACAATTTACTCACGTGAGCAGGCTATTTCGCCGTCCCATTCACCATTTGCCTGACATGATAAGATAGGTGGTACTTTGATCGGAGCTATTCCAGGCCTACACCGGAATTGTACTCTGTCTCCGTAAAAATAGGAGCGACCAGATATTCGGATGATATTCACCATGTCCGTCACTGGAGGCTTTCCACAAGAGATTCCTACAGCAGTAGATGTTCCATTTTGATAGTTTACATTCAACCATTGAAAGGAATGTTCAGTTAGGATGTCAATTAGTGAAAGACTCCCTGTTATGTAAATTGATAACCGTCGTCATGACACTCTCTAGGCTAAACACCAACATTTAAAATTATCAAGATATTCAGACACGGTGTTCTTTCAAAGGGATATGTTTATAAGTTAGGGTACGTTCTTTTGGCCAATACTTGCCATCGTAAAATATACATGAAATGAAATGGAGAATTTTTTCATTTCGTGTTATGTAATAAAAAACAGTTGCTTAATATTTGCATTTTTACATGAGATATTGAATTTATATATGCTTTTCATACACATGGAGCAAAAATCAATCAAAGCTGGCAGTCGTCATACTTCGACAAATTCCACTTGGATTGGACCAAACGTTCTCAGGAGTACACGTGACTTCCATGTTACCGATACCACGATATCCCGTCATGCACTCCACTGTGTACATCTCGCCCTCTCTATAAGCAGAAGGGATGGTATTCGCGTTCGCCAAATCGTGTCGTGCTGGGCAGGCTTCGACATTTGCTACAAACAGAACCAGGAGTTTTGACAAGATACATGTTTAAAATCTAACTATAAAAGATATACGAACTTAATGAAATTGTGATTATATCAATAATTACATTGACAATATCAGACCATTTAACGGAAATTGACAAGCTTTGTGGTTTTCTTGGAAACCCGGAAAAGTTTGTTATGTTCTTGCATTTGAAAGTGCGCAGTAACCATAAGGCGTAACTCAAACATAATCCCGATATTATATATATATATTATATCTTTCTTCAAGACGTTTTGCATAATTTATAGGATATCTTGCATAATTCATTGGATATCTAAATCAATTTATAGGTCATCACAATTTGTATTTTTTTTTGTTATTTGATGAGAAAATTTATCTTACAAGCTTGGTATGTCTTTTGAAATATCGATGGATCTAAAAGATATCTTATAAACAATTTTATTAGAGGTCTTCGCTTAGGAACTTTTAGATTTATATCATAAAATATAGCTTTTACCCAAGTTTAGAAGATATCGGAGAATTTATCTGTTAACCTTAATTTTAAGCGATATATCATTTCACTACCTTTTTTTCATTATCTATTACCTTTTTACTACCGTACTATTTTAAATAAATGCATCTAGACAAAGATATTTGCTGCAGTGATCAAATATCTCACCAGTCTTCGAAAATAACTTTTTGCTTTATTTAATAATGCTAATGCTTTAGTTTTTATCAGGAGACGTAGCGTAAATTCAGTGCCATTTTACTTTTCTATTTATAGACGACAAAAGTCAGGTTACCCTCTATGCATGATGGGTTCACAGCGCTCCATCTTCCATTGGCTTGGCACTGAGAGGACGAAGTCCCCACAAGAACGTATCCCTCCTTGCAGATCAAATCTATGTTGTCAGCGTACACGTACTCATCCTTCGTTCCGGTCCTAACGATAAGGTTGGAATCGTACAACGGGAAATCTCCACATGAAACAACTGAAATTAAGAAATGAACGGTGCGTTGTCGATTTTTACCGCAAAACACATGTAATGGAATATTATTTGAAATATAGAACACAATCTTCGAAACAGTTTTGAAAAGTAAAAGTTCCAATGCATGTTCTATCCATTGTGACACTGATTCGTATTTAAGGACGTTGCGTTATTTTCATGCCGAATAATCATCAATTAAGTATGATAGTAAATTAGTACGTATGAGATATTTAATACCAAGAATATTGCAAAGGTGTCAAAATACATAATTACCTTGACATTCTGGTGAGGTACCACTCCATTCCCCTGAAGATGTACAGCTCATATTCGTTTTTCCAATCAAAATGTAACCTACAGGACACGAAAACGTGACAGTTCCGCCAAGAAGATGGTCATTGCCGATTACGATCACGTTGCTTCGAATTTTCGGTGCTCCACAGCTGTTTTTTTCACATCGTGGATTCAACCCAATCCAATTGCCAGTTTCATCGCAACGTAATACAGCATTCTCAGACATAAAAAATCCAGCAGCACAAGAATAGGTTGCCTCGGAGGGATACGTCGTTGATGATACAGACACTTCGGAATTCGGGACCGTGGGAGGGGGACCGCAATCCACTGCAAGACAGGATAGAGAACGGTCAAGACTCCACGTTCCATTAGCAGAGCATTTAACCATCGGATCTCCTCTCAGTGTAAACCCGGGGTTACAGCGGAAAGTGACAACACTGTCGAATGTGGTGGCAAAAACGATGGTGGTGGAGTGTGGCAACACTGGAGGTGCGCCACAATCCACTGCTGAACAGACGGGCATGCTGCCCTCCCAAATACTGTTTGCGGCACAACGAAGCATACTGTTCCCCTGTAATTCGTATCCAGTTTCACACGTGTAGTACACCTTATTCTTGAAACTGAAGTCGTCGCCTGCGCGAATTGTTTGTGGTATTTCAGGTGGAGTACCGCAAGAGATCGGCTCACACTGAGGTGGGAAACTTGACCATGTGGCGTCCTCCAAACATACAAGGACATCATCTCCTTCCAGGGTGTACCCATCTTCACAGAAATATGTGAGAAGGTTTCCATATGTGTACAAGTCTCCCAGACGTCCAGAGTTGGCGACAAATGTTGGTTCACCACAGCTGACTGGATTACAGACAGGAAATTCGGCACTCCATTTTCCGTTTTCTATACACATTAACACTTTTACACCCTCCAATTCAAATCCTTCGTCGCATGAGAAGATAGCGCGACTCTGGTAGACCTCACCGTTGGTCATGACTTCACCGTTGAATATCCTTTCTGGCTGAGGACAGGTTATTCTATCACACTGGGGTAGTGTGCCATTCCACGATCCATCGGAAGTACAGACAAGATCGGTGTTACCAACCATGACATAACCTTCATCACAATTGTATGACACTATGTCATCAACGACATATTGGACTTTCACAGAAGAAGGTGATCCTTTCCAAATAGCAGGAACAGTGCAGGTTATAAGTCGACATGTTGGTACAGAACCACTCCATAATCCGTTCTGTTGACAAGTACGTCTTTCGGATCCTACGAGTTCATATCCAATACCACACGCATAAACTATTTCGTGGTTGAAATCGAACAGAGAACCTTCAATCTGCCCATTCTCAAACTCTCCTGGATTTCCACATGAAATGATTGAACATGTAGGGGCAATGGCAGACCACCAAGATCCATCCCCTTGACACGATAATTGAGTGTCGCCATTGATGGAATACCCGTCAATACACTCGACAGTAAGTGTGTCACCATAAAGGAAACTATCGCCGCTAACCCGTGCATTGCTGATGATCGGAAGATCTTCACATTCTGCTCTGGAACATTCGATACGTACTGCTGACCATCTGCCGCTCAATTCGCAGGTGGCAGTAACGACCGATCCGCCTATGCTTTTAAAACCTTCGTTGCACCGTACCTCAACCATGCTTTTATAAGTTGTTGTTCCATTCAAGAGATTTGTCATGGCATTAGGTTTAGCTGGAATGTCATCACACATTATAATTGTACATCGGGGAATGGGGCGTGACCACTTTCTTGTTGCCTCGCATCTTCTAGTATGATGTCCTCTCGTTAGTTCATAACCTTCATTACATTCAAGCTGGACGGTATCCCCATAAAAATAGTTTGGCTGTCTCGGACTCGTGATTCTGGCATTAGGAGGCGTTCGTGGTAATATACATCGTACCTTATTGCAGTTTGGCTCAGGACCCGACCACATTTTGCTGTACATACACAAACGGAACGAGACCGAGTCGAGAATAAAGCCCGAATTACAACGATATCGTATCTGACTTCCAAGATGGTAATTATTGCCAAGGATTTCTCCGTTTTCGATCGATTGCGGTGGGGAACAGGCAATGGCGGTACAGGTGGGAGCGACACCCGACCAATTTCCGTTTAACTCGCATATTCTAGTCAAAGTCCCATTGGCTTCAAAACCTGTTTCACATGTGTATGTGACAACACTGCCGTACGCAAGAGAATTGAAATTGACCTCTCCGTTCAGTAATTTTTCAGGAGATTCGCACTCTATCTGGTTACATGTAGGTTCTGTTCCATTCCATGTCCCATCTGATTGGCAAGTGATAGCTGAATTACCAATCATAACAAAGCCCTCGTTACATCTAAACGATAACACCGTTTCATAAACATTGTTAAATTCATTTTCAATATCACCATTTTGTAAGGAAAAAGATCCTGCACATCGAATGATATTACAAAATTGCACATTCCCACTCCATCGTCCGTCTGACAAACACCTACTAGTGTTGCTCCCAACTAAAACAAATCCTTCGTCACATGTGTACGATGCGATCGAACCTACTGTTTTTCCATCATATGTAATGGTCCCATTTTGAAATTCCTCCTCCCCGTCTATACTAGGACATTCTTTGGGAACACATCTTGGTGGTCTGTCTGGGTATATACCATCGATTCGACATTCCAGTTGTCTGCGTCCCTCAAGATCATATCCGGTATTGCACTCGTACGTGACCACACCGTCATCAAAAACCGTAAACGTGGCGAAGTCTACCGCTGGTGGTGGATCGCAGATTACACAGACTGGAGAAGGGCCGCTCCATAAACCATTTTCGCGACACGTTCGTTCGGAAGACCCAAACAGAACATAGCCTGATCTACATGTAAACGATATGAGAGAGCCATACTCAGTTCTAAAAGAGGATGGAAATCCATTTGCGAGAAAGGCTCTGTTACAATTAACTATTTCACATATAGGTATGGGCGTATCCCATGCTCCACTAGATAGACACGTTCTGTTAGCGGCACCCACCAAGTTATATCCGACATCACATTCGTAGTGTATCGTACCATTGTACGTGAAGTCTGTTCCGTGCATGCGACCGTTGGATGTAACCGTAGAAGGTGATTCACACCGGACTACACTACAAGAAGGTACTAGTCCTGTCCATTCTCTAGAGGCAGAACACGTGAGTGTAGTTGAACCCTGTATAACATATCCTGTTTCGCAAAAGTATGAAGCAACTGACTGAAACGATAAGCCGTTGGTTGATCTTCCTCCGTTTTCAATGGTTGGCGGATCACTACATCTAACGGGGTTACAGACAGGATCTGTGTCGAACCAGGATAAGGTTGTCATACACCTTCTAACATCATTTCCTTCCAGTACATAACCAGTATCACATTCATATGTTGACACAGAACCGAGTTTAAGTTCTTTGAAATCAACATTTCCATTTGGGATCGGAAGTGGAGTAGCGCAGCTGCCTGGTTGACAGGACGGTGACTTACCAGACCAATACCCTTCGGGTTGACATATCCTGATGGATTCTCCCTCTAAATCGTAGCCAGGATCACAGGAATATTCCACTTTACTTGTGAATGTTCGACCAAGCATGGTGACTAATCCATTGCGTATGTTCCGTAACGCCGGACATTCTACAGGAGAACAAGTAGGTGGAGAGGGTGTCCATGAACCGTCAGCTTGACAAGCCAGAGTAGTATTTCCTTGAATATTATACCCTTCATTACAGTCATATATCACTTCATCACCAAAGTAATACGCACTGTTTGTAAAGAAGCCATTCGAAATGAAAGGTGGCTTAGCACATTCACGTCTTCTGCAACTTGGTATTTGACTTGTCCAGTGTCCGTCCTGTCCACACGCCCTTTCTTCCACTCCACTCATCAGGAAGCCATCATTACAAGAGTATCTTACTGTACTACCATACGTAAATTCGTTGCCGACGAATCGACCATTCTCGATTGAATCTGGCGTGCCACAAGATGCAGGACTACATGTAGGAATACCTTCGCTCCAGGACCCATTTTGAAGACATGATCGCTGAGCATTACCCTGTAGTTCAAATCCTCCATTGCACTGGTATGTTACAATGGACCGATATGTGTAACTGTCCGCCTTGATTATACTATTGGGTACGCTGTCCGGGACACCACAGTCCACAGGTATACACTCAGGTGGTGGAGGTTCCCAGAGCCTGGTTTCAACACATTCCGCTATGTTATCTAACTCGATTATGGTATAGCCTGCATCACAAATGTACTCTGCTGTACTAAGAAATGTTCTTGATGTCCAAATTGCCCTTCCATTAATGACATTTGGTGGTTCTTGACAGGTTAAGATGTTACATACAGGGAGGTTTTGTTCCCATTCCCCTGACGGAAGACAACGGAGCGTACCAGAGGGATTTTTATCAGACAATGCATAGGCAAAGTCGCAGTCATATGTAACGATGGAACCTACTGAGGATTCACTCAGCTCCTCTCTAGGTGATGCCTTATCAACAATGGGCGGTGTCTTACATGTTTGAAGATCACAAGAAGGAATGCTTCTTAGGAATGTTCCATCGGACTGGCACAGAACTGTTGAATGGTTAGTATACATCCTGTGACCTTTAGCGCAGCCAAAAGCAACTACATCTCCAGGGGAATAAACTCTGCTCGAATTGAGAACTCTTGTGTTCTCTGACAATTCTGGAAGTCTGCACTTCACAGCTGTAAAAAGGAGGTTTAATTTGATGACATTTATTTGTATACAATACTGTAATGAATAACGTTTTACAGATTACCTGTTGGATGTATTTGATGTGATAAAAATATTATAAGACGAATTACCCTCTGGCTTCCAAGCAACAATCAATGCTAAAGTAAGGATATATCATTTCCAATAGTCTCTGCACCTTCCCTGTAACCGTCAACGTTACAGTAATCACTTACCCTGACAAATAGCCTCCGTGCCTTTCATGTAACCGTCAGCGTTGCAGTAACCACTCACCCTGACAGGTAGGCTCCGTGACTTCCCAGTAAACATAAGAGTTACATTAACGACTTACCTAACCGTCAGCGTTATATTGACGACCTACCCTGACAGGTAGGCTCTGAGCCTTCCCAGTAACCGTCAGCGTTACAGTAACCACTTACCATGACAGGTAGATTCCGTGCCTTCTCAGTAACCGTCAGTGTTACAGTAACCACTTACCCTGACAGGTAGGCTCTGAGCCTTCCCAGTAACCGTCAGCATTACAGTAACCACTTACCCTGACAGGTAAGCTCTGAGCCTTCCTAGTAACCGTCAGAGTTACAGTAACCACTTACCATAACAGGTAGGTTATGTGCCTTCCCAGTAACCGTCAGCGTGACAGTAACCACTTACCATAACAGGTAGGTTCCGTGTCTTCCCAGTAACCGTCAGCGTTACAGTAACCACATCCCATGACAGGTAGATTCCGTGCCTTCTAAGTAACCGTCAGTGTTATAGTAACCACTTACCCTGACAGGTAGGCTCTGATCCTTCCCAGTAACCGTCAGCGTTACAGTAACCACATCCCATGACAGGTAGATTCCGTGCCTTCTAAGTAACCGTCAGTGTTACAGTAACCACTTACCCTGGCAGGTAGGCTCTGAGCCTTCCCAGTAACCGTCAGCATTACAGTAACCACTTACCCTGACAGGTAAGCTCTGAGCCTTCCCAGTAACCTTAAGCGTTACAGTTACCACTTACCATAACAGGTAGGTTCCGTTCCTTCCCAGTAACCGTCAGCGTTACATTAACGACGTTCCCTGACAGGTAGGTTCCGTGACTTCCCATAAACGTAAGCGTTGCAGTACCCATCTACCCTGGCAAATAGCCTTCGTGTCTTTTCTGTAACCGTCAGCGTTGCAGTAGCCGTTTAACCTGACAGGTAGGTTCCGTGCCTTCCCAGTAACCGTCAGCATTACAGTAACCACTTACCCTGACAGGTAAGCTCTGAGCCTTCCTAGTAACCGTCAGAGTTACAGTAACCACTTACCATAACAGGTAGGTTCCGTGACTTCCCAGGAACCGTCACTGTTACAGTAACCACTTACCATAACAGGTAGGTTCCGTGTCTTCCCAGTAACCGTCAGCGTTACAGTAACCACTTACGATAACAGGTAGGTTCCGTGACTTCCCAGTAACCGTCAGCGTTACAGTAACCACTTACCCTGACAGGTAAGCTCTGAGCCTTACTAGTAACCGTCAGCGATACAGTAACCACTTACCCTGACAGGTAAGCTCTGAGCCTTACTAGTAACCGTCAGCGATACAGTAACCACTTACCCTGACAGGTAAGCTCTGAGCCTTACTAGTAACCGTCAGCGATACAGTAACCACTTACCCTGACAGGTAAGCTCTGAGCCTTACTAGTAACCGTCAGCGATACAGTAACCACTTACCCTGACAGGTAAGCTCTGAGCCTTACTAGTAACCGTCAGCGATACAGTAACCACTTACCCTGACAGGTAAGCTCTGAGCCTTCCTAGTAACCGTCAGAGTTACAGTAACCACTTACCATAACAGGTAGGTTCCGTGACTTCCCAGTAACCGTCAGCGTTACAGGAACCACTTACCATAACAGGTAGGTTCCGTGCCTTCCCCGTAACCGTAAGCGTTACAGTAACCACTTACCCTGACAGGTAAGCTCTGAGCCTTCCTAGTAACCGTCAGCGTTACAGTAACCACTTACCCTGGCCGGTAGGCTCCATGTCTCCCCAGTAATAGTTAGCGTTACATTAACGAATAATCCTGACAAGTAGGCTACGCGACTTCCCAGTAACTGTGTTACAGTAACAACTTGTCCTGACAGGTAGGCTCCGTACCTTCCATGTATCCGTCAGCGTTACATTGACGTATTGCCATGACAAGTAGGCTCTGCGTCTTCCCAGTAACCCTCAGCGTTACAGTAACCACTTACCATGACAAGTAGGTTCCGTGCCTTCCCTGTATCCGTCAGCGTAACATTAACGATTAGCCATGACAAGTAGGCTCCGTGTCTTCCCAGTAACTGTCAGTGTTACAGTAACGACTTGCCCTGACAGGTAGACTCTGAGCCTTCCCAGTAACTGTCAGCGTTACAGTAACGACTTACCCTGACAGGTAGGCTCTGAGCCTTCCCAGTAACCGTCAGCATTACAGTAACGACTTACCCTGACAGGTAGGCTCTGAGCCTTCCCAGTAACCGTCACTGTTACAGTAACGAGTTGCATTGCCAATAAGTATATGATTCTTGTAACAAGTGTAGCGAACTCTGTTGTCATAACTGAAAACGCCATCTACAAAGCCATTGTGAATGTTTCCAGGGTAACCACATTCTACACCTGGATAAAAGAAAGAAAATAAAGAATATATATGTTAAATGTCCATGTGAAGTAGGTAAGTATAGAAACAATAGGCCCAAGGGCCTTAGCGGTCACCTGAGTTATATATCAGGTACTGGTAGCTTAATTCTATTGTTTAGATGTGATGTGGAAATCAGCATGTAGACTAAGTGAAATACAATACTTGTCATGTCATCAAAGTACAAGAATTTGAAAATATTGGTAAATGCTCCCTTTGGGGCCCCGCCCTAGCCCCTGGGGATCGGGCAGGAATTCTAATTTTACAATGTAAAACCCTCATTCACCAGATGATTCTGACTAAGTTTGAGTAATTTTCTGCTGAAAATGGATAATATATACCCAAAAGTGTTATTTCCCTATATAAACTATAGTAAACTTTACCCCCTCCCCTAGGGAGAACGGATAGCTCAGGGATCCTGAAATTTACAATTTAAATAGAGCCCCTGATGATCTTTCTTTTTATGAACTGAAATTGAATGTAGTACCTCTGAGTCTGGAGAAGAAGATTTTTGAAATATTGGTTAATTTTCCCTTTGGGGCCCCGCCCTGGCCCCAGTGGTTGGGGTAGGAATCTCAATTTTACAATTTAAAACCATCTTCCTCCAAGGATAATTCTCACCAAGTAAAAATAATTTCCTACAGAAAGTTGTCAAAATATACCCAAAAGTGTTATTTCACTATATAAACTATAGTAAACTTTACCCCCTCCCCAAGGGAGAACAGATATTTCAGGGGTCCTGAAATTAACAATTTAAATAAAGTCCCTGATGATCTATCTTTTTATAAACTGAAATTGAATGTAGTACCTCTGAGTCTGGAGAAGATTTTTGAAATATTGGTTAATTTTCCCTTTGGAGGCCCCGCCCTGGCCCCAGGGGTTGGGGTAGGAATCCCAATTTTACAATTATCTACCATGGATGATTCTGATCAAGTTTGAAAAGAATCCATCCACTGGTTCTTGAGAAGAAGTTGAAAATGTAAAAAGTGTACGGACGACGGACGACGGACGACGACGGACGGAAAGCGATTAGAACAGGTCACTTGAGCAAAGCTCAGGTGACCTAAAAATAAGATCTAACGACCGACTAAAAAACAAGCTGCTTTTATCCTTCACAGGACTCTACAGGTTTGAAGCTGCTTTCACTCTTCACAGGGCTTTTTTAGTCGGTCGTTAGATCTTTTTCACATACACAAAAGTGTATATGTGTAGATAATAAAATAAATGTAGCGAATGAACACTTATACGGTAAATGTTATACGCTGTTACATTAATCGGCGGTACACCATTAACTGAAGTAGCCATCATCAGTCTATATTGAATATATAAATGAATTGAATAGTATCATGTCGGATACACCACCATAGCACTCACTAACCAACGACACACTAACCAACGAAATGCTAATTATATAAAGAATAATAATTAGTTAGAACAATACCTATATTGTACACCATCCTTACATGATAAGTACGTCTTCACTAACTAACTTTACTTACGTTGACAGGTTGGCGTTCTGCCCCCCTCCCAGTCGCCAGTTACCAGGCACTGCCGTCTGTCCCTCCCTGCCACATTGAAGCCACGAAGACAGGCGTACGACACAATGGAACCGGACGAAGTCCCACCGTACTCGATGGTGCCGTAGGTAGGCGTGACCGGAACCGGGCAATCTTAACAACAAAATGTTACTTCTTTCTAAAAAAGTCACACACATGTCCTAATCGTAGGGTGAGAATACCCAAAATGGAACACTTTATAATACATGATGCAGCATTTTTTATTTCGCAATGTAAATGAATTGTTTGTTAATCTTAATCAAAATGTATAAAGTATGAAGCATGTTGAAGAAATTTCACCTCCCTACGTCTTAAACAATTGCTCATAAACCCAATGGAAATAATCATAAAAGGAATAAAAATCCCAGGAAACGGTACGGTGCTACAACATAAATAGCCTATCACATTTCTAAACACAGACAAATATTTTTTCAGACGGATACTTTTATAAATGAATAACTATAATTGGTCAGAAATTGTAAAAACTTTTTTGAAATGAGGAAAATATTTTAAATGTTGTCATATATTTTTATAAAGTGACTAGTTTAATGAGGTGTTCAATTTTGATTACTCGGCCAGCTTTAACTTCCAAGCAATTCTGACTAAAAACTGAGCTCTGTAAAGAGATATACGCGCTAGCGATATCCAAGAAATAATAGAATAAAGGCTTAATGTATCTATTGTTTCAGTACGATAAAAGGTTTGACGTTTCAGAAACTTATAAGGAAATATTTAAAAAGTGTTCCATTTTGGGTGCCCTCACCCTAAAGGGTCTGTGTGTCAAAATAGATTTGTTGCTATCTAACCCTGGTTATGCCATACATCAAGTCCATTTCACATGGTGTCAATTTCTCTATTTTGAAACAAAATTTAAAAAATATATAATTTCAATATGTTTCGTTGCCATATCAAAATATGTATCAATATTTAAAGGTAACAAAGCGAAAATGTATTTATGGGATTAGTTCTTACCTATTTAAAACCATTATAATTGATAAGTACATCATATGTATTTTTTAAAATATAGTGTATTTGTACACGTTTACTGATACAGGTTAATGTTACAGATCCTTTTATTTATAGTTGGTTCCTTATTCAAAATACAGCCTCCATCAATAATTAATCCTTCATCAGAAAATTGTCGCGAAAATAATTAATTGTACAGCTTTTATCAAGACTTTGTTAATCAGATTGTATCTTCTTATTTAAAAAAGAGAATCGGTGCCTTTAATATCAACTTTATTTTATTACTTTTTGCATTTACAGTATAATGAAAGCAAAACATAATGGTTGAAATAGGATTTGAAAACAACTTTAAAACTTATATATAAATTAATCTCCAACTGCCCTTGATATGTGTCCTTTTCCATAATGAAACCTCTGTAGAATTGGTGTTCTTAGTACATGCACTATCTCACTTGTTATGATGTTAGGATTTAGGATGGTCGGGTGGTGCTGTGGATAGCGCACTTGCCTTTCACCAAGGCGGCCGGGATTCGATTCCCCGATCGGACGTGAAAAGGTATGGGGTCACCTGCTCGATCACATTTTTTTTTCGGATACCCCGGTTTCCTCCCAAACTAAGACCCCCGCATGCTAACATTCCGGCCAACAAGAGTGATTTATATAAGTTGGAATGACTTGTTTAATAATTGTTGTAAAATAACTAAAGTTTATATATACTGGTTAGAATTGGAGCTCTTGCTACGTGGTTGCCTCAGAAGAAAACCTTTGTAAAATTAACAAGTATTCTTTATACAGGTCCTCTCTCAGAATATAATCTCAGTAGAGTCGGCGGTCTAGAGATATGTCCAGTCTCAGAATATAACCTTTGTATAATTGGTGAACTTTAAAGTTGTCCTGGTTTAGAATCAAATCCCCACAGAACTGCCGGTGGTCGACTGAGTTGTAACTTATTTTAGATGGATGCGCAGAAGCAGGCATCAGTATTTATCCTTCTGAAGGACATGGTTTCAGCTCAGGTTTTCTTTGGGGCTTCATACTTGTATTGGTGTCTCTACAACTCCTGTTGTCTTTTCTTTCGTTTTGATGTCTCCTCGGTTCTTGTTGATGTCTTTTTGTATCGATATTGAGTTAAGATTGTGACCTTGTGTATTGACGTGAACTTTGAATTTAGTTTTTGCACTTTTGTACTTGAGTTCATTTCGAATTAAGATATTGTTCTTTTGTACTTAAGTACATTTTGAAATTAATATTTTTGTACATTTGCAATGATGTACATTTTTAATTTATATCTTTTTTATTCATATTTTGTATTTTTGTATTGACTTCAGTCATTAATTCAGATTGCGTACTTTAGTGCTGGCTCTGATTGTATTCAGATTGTGTTTTTGTGTATTAACCTATTTTTGAGTTCAGATTTTTAACTTAAGTACCGATTTATATTATGCATTCAGAGTTTCTACTTGTAATGCAAATTTTGTTAATCTAATTTCTTATTGTGTACTTGTGTAATGAACATAATGTTTTGAATTAACATTGTGTATTTGCATACTGACGATAGAAAATAACATTTTGACCTCGTGTGCTGACATTTGTTTTTTAGTTGAGATGGTGTATCTGTGTAATGACACATTTTTAAGGTTTTAGATGGTTACTTCAGTACTTCAGACGTAAAATGTATTTCAGATTGTGCACTTATGCATTGGTGATACATTTTTCTACTTTACCTTCACGTAAGTTTATAATCTGAGTAACCAAAGCAGTACTCATAAATCCCTTAATTTTCTCGTATAACAAATTGCTACATATTTCATCACTCCCACAACTGTTACATGTATTATAACTCCCATACCTGCTACAGGTTCCATCCTGTTACAAGTATTATAACCCCCATACCTGCTACAGGTTCCATCCTGTTACATGTATCATAACTCCCATACCTGCTACAGGTTCCATTCTATTACATGTATTATAACTCCCATACCTGCTAAAGGTTCCATCCTGTTACATGTATTATAATTCCCATACGTGCTACAGGTTCCATCCCGTTACATGTATTATAATTCCCATACCTGCTGCAGGTTCCATCCTGTTACTTGTATTATAATTCCCATACCTGTTACAGGTTCCATCCTATTACATGTATAATAATTCCCACACCTGCTACAGGTTCCATCCTGTCACATGTTTTATAAATCTCATACCTGCTACAGGTTCCATCCTGTTACTTGTATTATAATTCCCATACCTGATACAGGTTCCATCCTGTTACATGTATTATAATTCCCATACGTGCTACAGGTTCCATCCCGTTACATGTATTATAATTCCCATACCTGCTGCAGGTTCCATCCTGTTACTTGTATTATAATTCCCATACCTGATACAGGTTCCATCCTGTTACATGTATTATAATTCCCACACCTGCTACAGGTTCCATCCTGTCACATGTTTTATAAATCTCATACCTGCTACAGGTTCCATCCTGTTACAAGTATTATAATTCCCACACCTGCTACAGGTTTCATCCTGTTACATGTATCATAATTCCCATACCTGCTACAGGTTCCATCCTGTTACATGTAGTACTTCAGACGTAAAATGTTATTTCAGATTGTGCACTTATGCATTGGTGATACATTTTTCTACTTTTCCTTCACGTAAGTTTATAATCTGAGTAACCAAAGCAGTTCTCATAAATCCCTTAATTTTCTCGTATAACAAATTGCTACATATTTCATCCCTCCCACAACTGTTACATGTATTATAACTCCCATACCTGCTAAAGGTTCCATCCTGTTACATGTATTATAATTCCCATACTTGCTACAGGTTCCATCCTATTACATGTATAATAATTCCCATACCTACTACAGGTTCCATCCTGTTACATGTATTATAATTCCCATAACTGCTACAGGTTCCATCCAGTTACATGTATTATAACTCCCATACCTGCTAAAGGTTCCATCCTGTTACATGTATTATAATTCCCATACATGCTACAGGTTCCATCCTGTTACATGTATAATAATTCCCACACCTGCTACAGGTTTCATCCTGTTACATGTATTATAATTCCCATCCCTGCTACAGGTTCCATCCCGTTACATGTATTATAATTCCCATACCTGCTGCAGGTTCCATCCTGTTACTTGTATTATAATTCCCATACCTGATACAGGTTCCATCCTGTTACATGTATTATAATTCCCATACTTGCTACAGGTTCCATCCTATTACATGTATTATATCTCCCATACCTGCTACAGGTTCCATCCTGTTACAAGTATTATAATTCCCACACCTGCTACAGGTTTCATCCTGTTACATGTATTATAATTCCCATACCTGCTACAGGTTCCATCCCGTTACATGTATAATAATTCCCATACCTGCTACAGGTTCCATCCTATTACATGTATTATAATTCCCATACCTGCTACAGGTTCCATCCTGTTACATGTATAATAATTCCCACACCTGCTACAGGTTCCATCCTGTTACAAGTATTATAATTCCCACACCTGCTACAGGTTCCATCCTGTTACAAGTATTATAATTCCCACACCTGCTACAGGTTTCATCCAGTTACATGTATTGTAATTCCCATACCTGCTACAGGTTCCATCCAGTTACATGGATAATAATTCCCATACCTGCTACAGGTTCCATCCAGTTACATGGATAATAATTCCCATACCTGCTACAGGTTCCATCCCTCCCTGTCGATATTGTAGATAATTTCATTATGAAACAGCTAGCGGTGTGGCGTTTCAACACACCCAACTGGATTACGTTTCAAGTGAATCCTTTTATATGCACTCCAATGAAGAAAGATTATAGTCAATCTTCTCATCATTTGATTTTCCCTTTGTTACAAACTTCCCGATAATCAACCTCAGCACATTTACACCACTATCCCCTTAACCTGCAATGGCTAAACCTTTCATATTGACGACAAGTACATAGGGTACAAGATTCTGCTTAAAGTCACCAACTTGATACGAGTTTATCATTCATTATTAATTTTACAAAGATACAAGACAAAAAATTGTGAAAAACGTTTTATTTATGCATTTGCCTAAAATGCTCAGATGTTGAGAAAGATATACATTGCGTCAAAATAAGTCGTGTGTGACTTTTGGTTAAATTCTGTTAACTTCAGTTCTAGTCACACTGCAACTTACTCAGGCTGTGCCTCTCACCTATGACCTATAACCTATAGTACATAGATGTTGCTGGAATGTAAGACTTACTAGTACCATCACATGGTATAATATAAAACATTCAGCTATCCTTTATTCCATCATCCCTATACGTGTACCGGGTTTTTCACAACATTTGTTTTCAATCTTTTTATATTTTTGTTGTTGGAGATTAAAATTCAATTCCAAATACAGTTGATTTGAGTACTCACTTCTTGAAACGCATTGTCCAAAATTGTTGATGTGTTTTTCTGCAAATGCTTTTTATTCGACATCTACATATGTGGTCAGAAAAAAGTTTTTTTGATTTTAACTTGTTATGAAATACCCAGTAACAAACTGTTAGCTAGTATACATGAAACAACACATTTTACGTGGTAGATTTACATTTCAGTGTCTAAAACTAAAATATTCTACCATTAGTAATTCCAGAAAGACTGCAAATCATTCCTTCAGAACATACACTGAATAAATAAATATCCATGGAAATGGTTTGTAACTCTCATTTACTTTATATGTCTTTAATAAATGCAGTGTTAAATGAAAAGTTGTTGAAAGCGTTAAGTGCGGCGATAGGTATTTATCCAAACAAACGGAAGCACGTATAGATGAAGCAGGAAAGCCGTTATTGACATCCACAGGAGACGCATGCGCAGATGGCATTTAGAGAGAGCAAGTCAAATATCATCCTTTACCTCGACAAAAATTGGCCGGCTCTGCACTTAATGTTCCACGCATGTCAGACTGAACATCCGCCCAAGCTATCACATCGCCTTGTTTAACATCACAAGAAATCCTCATTTCATCAATGGTTGTCAAGGGAAGTTCATTAGACCATATATTTAGTCTTGTTAGTTGTCCTATGAATGATTCGCTACTGCTAAAGCCTTCGGGATCCTGTTCCTGACCAACAACGAAAGTGCCACCACCTTTAAATTCAAATAGAAAACAACGGTAAGAAAAGAACGCTATAATTACTTTTTATTCATTGCATCGTCTTAATCAAAACCCTATCGTGTCGGCAGCTCGTCACAACTGATATTTATTTTAAGACATTTATGGATAATTTTCCCCAATTCGTCAGCTGGTACAGATCGTTGCGCCTCATAAAATACCTCGCTTTGCAGTACATATGTGAGATAAGAACTGTTCTTGCCTGAACAACATCGTCAGCACATCGACAGCCTTGCTGTTGGTGACATTATACCAGATAACACGTTGATAACGTTTGTAACGTGTTAACTTACCGGCGATGACTTCCCCCGCCGCCAAATCGTAGCCTGAATCCCAGACAACACCGTCCTTGTAAATCTTCCACGAGCCTCGGTTTGATGCCCATGTGACAATAATGTGATGCCATACTCCGTCGTTAGCATACACGTCCGTTACCTGCTGGTGGTTGTTTACACTTATCACAAACCTATAGTCAGACAGAAAAAATACCATGAAACACCATTTTTAAACAGTTAAGTAGTCATGCTCGACATCGATACATCGATGTATTAATTCAATTATAATGCGAGACTTTAGCGAAAATTTAAATGTATCGCGAATTCTAGTATATATTAAATACACGTTAGGAATGCCAAATATCTGTTTTCAGACATTTTCAAATTCTTTTAAATAAAAAAATAAAAATTCAGAATCTTCAAAATAGACTTCGGTACTTTGTGTACATTCAACAAGAAGTCCATCAAGCCAGCATTATTCATATATTTCATTTGTTACCTGAACTAGAAACGATCTTGAATTGATTCTGCTCATTTGTAAGCATGGTGACAGCTGCAGAACTCGTATTGGTAAGAACAATGGCAGGATCATTTGTACGAAATTTGGTTCATTCATAAAAGACGATAATTTGCACTCATTTTTGTCAACATTCGCCAATTACACAATTACACATGGAGAAGATCCACACACTTGATCTATACAACGTTTAACATAAAGGGATATTCGATGCTAACGTAAGATAAAATTTCATCAGTAGTCTCGAAGAACACATCCATCTCTTTCGCTGTTTGATCCCATCCCTCCGTCCCCATGACAGCACATTCTTCATTTCTCTAACAATGCATTTCTCTAACAATGAACTCCCTAAGCCCAAGACTATGCAATGCCAAATTAGCATCATATTTAAGGGGCACTTTCGTGAATGATTAAGCCATATTTCCAGTTTGGGAACCCAACATTTGCCATTTGGGAATGTGGAGAATAAACCCTTCATTTATGTAACGTTGAATTATTTTGACGCTAGAATTCTTCATGCCGAATACGATTTATATCACTTCATCCGTACCTAGTAAGTGGTTTCCTAATTACACTTTTGGGTCCTGTCCTTTTGTGCCAATGGGCAACATCATTCATACAAAGTGAAATCCTGTGGTTTGGTCCAGGAGTATACTATGGCAAATGAGTTCAAAATACCTTTACCCTTAGTGAAGGAGTCAATAGTAAAAATATTTCCCCGTTTGGGCTCCGTTTCTGTCCCCAGGGGGCCAACCCCTCTGGCGTTTACAACAACTGAATTCCCTTAAAAAATACCTTATGCTAAATTACGTCTTGGGCAATTCTAGACTTGCAGAGAAAAGATTACAATAAACTGTCGAACTGAAACCATACGATGGATAACTCGGCCATTCGGGCAAGGTAAACTTTAAAGTCGAATGTAAAAATACGACAAACCCTTCATAATTGGTCAGAGTGAAGGCATTATCCATCGTATTTGACGAGGAGTAGGAAAATGGAGTTCCCTGATTGGTGTCGTCGTCAGTCTTCATCCAGAACGAGACTGTGAGAGCAGTCAGGTCGGTGTTGATGGTAGTGGTGGTGTAGTTGGTCACCCCAGACGACGGGAAGTCCAGCATGTAATTGTCTGTAAGCTCTGTAACGACAGTAGAGCAATGTAACAAATGTATTTGGATATGTACTGCAGACGACTAATTGCACGCGACCATATCCTAGAAGATTTCAATTACGCTTGTTGCAAAGCGAACATACATCTAAAAGGAGTGAACTTGACCTGGCTCAAGAGATTACTACACACTGCACTGTTATGCGCCTACATCATAGAATTACATCCATGGATACATATTTCTGTGAAGATGGGCAAAATTATATTTGCCCAAATATTAAGTCGACAGACATATAATTGTCTAGTCCTACCTGTTTCACACTTAGCGCCAGTGACGCCGGACGGACAGTGGCACACGTATCCGTCCACCATGTCCTCACACGTGGAAACCGGAGAGCAGGGAGTGGAGGCACACTCGTCAATATCCACGTCACACGTCTTCCCTATATATCCAGGTAGACAGCGACACCTAGTAGGACGTAACATTAGTGTAGCAGTTAGGTAACATGTAGTGAAGGAGACATGGACAGTCACAACAATGAAAACTGCATAGCAATATAGTTTTGACCTAAATTTACGAGGCAGATTTCGTCGGTGAAGCAGAAGACGCTTAACTTTCTTGATCATCTGGTCATTTTATCATTGTATTTTTGTAAAGATCTCCATGTATTATTTTCCTTTCTTCCTATTCTGCCGAAGTCTTTTCGACTTAAGGTTCGATTTACGGTTTCGTTAACATTTCAGTATTCCCATGGGTTTGTTTCAGAAGATACATCTCTGTCATATAAATGGACCAGTCAAAACGTTTGCTGATATCACATGCAACCGCCCCGCCCACATCCATATCACCAGAGCTGGTGGAGAGATCCAATCCGAAGAGAGTTTCGCGGAGCTAGTATTCGATATATTTCAATTGGTGTTCATTGCAATACATTTCTCACCGAAATGCCCCAATGCCGTCGACACATTCAGCGCCATTTTCACAGGGGGAACTTTCACACTCGTCCGTGTTTATCTCACAATCTGCCCCCTCATATCCAGTGGAGCAGGTGCACGTGTAACCTTCTAGAACGTTCTCGCATGTTCCACTATTTTCACATGGGTTGGTCTTACAATCATCTATAAGACGTTCGCATGCATCACCTGCATCGATATAAATGAAATACTAACTGTATATTGCAGATATACATTAAATACTAACTGTATATTGTAGATATACATGAAATAGTAGTAAATGTTATTGTAACGACATAAGAAAATAGTTGGGTGTGAATGAATCAACATACAAGAAATATTTACTGTAAATGTATCGACACAAGTGAAATATTTACTGTAAATGTATCGACACTATTGAAATATTTACTGTAAATGTATCGACACTATTGAAATAGGTACATGTACTTGTATCGACACACATGAAACAGTTACCGTACATATATTGACACACGTGAAATAGTGTTAATGTAACGACACACATTAATAAGTTACCGTATATTTATCGATACACATGAAATAGTTTCATCGAACTTTATATATATTTATGATATTATTTTTTATCTACGTAGGTCACATGAGGGTTCGTTGTGTTTTCCTTGCCACTTTTTGAGAATCTAAAAAATAAATGAGTTTTACTTAGGTTTCCATGGCGGGTAGCGTTGAAGAAGCAGAGGACGTCCATCCTTCCGAAACATCCAGTTTTATTTTCAAAGTACTTTTCGAGAAAGTCTCCTGTAATCTTTCTCTTTTGTTCCATTTTTTGCCATGATTCAACGATATTTTTTAATGGATTTTTTTTCAACGAATTTTGTATGTCTTTTTTAAAAATTAAATCCTCTGAATGAAAGATAAGCCCTTAGTCCTAGTTATTTAAAGGTTTAGCATTTGTTAAGGATTTCTTCTCGGATGCATGTGAATTCATTGAAAATAACTATATTTGTGCCCTTTTAAAACTATTGAAACTGAGTCATCTTGTAAATGTTAAAACCAACTGAAATAAAAGGTTCTCCCTAAATTAAGAGATAGCGATCTAGTACATCAATTTCGTAAATCGTATTCGCAGTGATCTTTTGGGATATCTTTAACTGCATAAGTAATCATTGTTTGCCAGTGAAACAAGAGCAGACGTACCTTGGTAGCCAGTCGCACACGAGCAGACGTAAGCGTTCACCTCGTCCACGCACGTGCCGTTGTTCTGACAAGGTTGCGTAAGACAGTCGTCAATATCCACCTCACACTTTTTCCCTGTACACAAACAGAACTTCATCAATATATTGAGTAGGGGTTGAGCTCCTGTGTTCCGCTATTCATACGAATCTCAGGTTTTTGATATACAACATGTGATTATTGTATAAATTGTAAGCAGACAGAATATCAGTTCCAATGGAAAACACTCCAATGCGACATACTCTACAGGACACGGTAACAAATAACTATAATGGTATAATGGAGGAACTTCATTTACTCTACTAAACACACTGTCTCTTCCTATTACCTGTGTATCCCGGTTCACACTGGCAGGAGAAATCGGCCTCAAGATCCACACACAAAGCTGAGTTGAGACACGGGTTACCCTCACACTCATCCGTAACCGTCTCACAGTTCATTCCTATAAAACAGGTAGACATCTCACTCACAGTATGAACCAATAGGTTAAATAAACCGTCAACAAAATGTACATTTTTAGATGAAATTGTCTATCGGTATCAATTTTAAAAGATCAACTGTTAGTCTACAATAACAGTAACGATGAGCTGAAATCAACTGTTTATTTCGTCTCTGTCGTGGGTCTCCATGTTTGAACCGTTAAGTTATGAACACTCGACACATCATGCAGTGTGATCTAAATACACATTCAGTATCCGATAAACCCATACCTTCAAAACCTGGCAGGCATTCGCAATGGAACCCAAAATCTCTGAAGTTACAAGTGCCCCCGTTCTGACAATGGTCGTCGAAGCAATCATTCACCGGCACTGCCTGCGGTAACGTTTCCCCTGGGGGATCGTCTGCCTGCATCTGTGGGTCCCAGCCACCTGCAGATACACACAACACTCAACTAAATATGAACTCCAAAAGATTCAAACATCAGTATAAAACATCGCACTCAAATGTGAGGCTTTCAGTCATTTTTGTTTACTTCTGTTCAAATTTTAACGATATATTTCAGAATGGAGTCAAAGTGTACAAGTGACAACCTTGGCAGTCGGATATCTTTGTGGTTCCGCGCTCAGCTGTGGTTCCATCCCCTGGGCACCGGAAACAGGAGGACATGGCCACTTCCGTTTGGTAAGTGCCTCTTGGACATGAATAACAGGGCTCTAGACCATTCTTAGATACATGACCGAGCCCACACCGATCTGAAACAGATAGTTGGACAAATCAGCAGGATAAACATGTAAGTGGCCTAATCAAATTGTCTCTTATACGGAAAAGCATGGTCTTTATTGCGTACTGCTGTACAATTGAAAACAAAATAATACCAAAAATTGAACTAAATACAACAACAATTAGCAACAAGAAATCAATGTTCAACAATCGACAAATTTATAGATTAAAGTTGTGTTAAGTTAAGTGGTAAGTACCGTTGTTACTTATCTCAGTGTGTTTGTGTTTTGGTTTTTATTATATATTTTTTCAGTTGAAAAGAAGATTAAATATTTGCTTTTCAGGCTGAAAGCAGCGTTAAACATTACTGCATTACTTTCAATGATGAGCTCGTTTGAATGTCATTCTTCATAAAAATGATATATTACTATACTTATATCAAAATAAATAGGTTACGAAAGTGGGTCAATTAAGGAAGGTATTATTTTAAAGATTAAACATTAGATATTTAATTTGCTTCTGATAAAAAAATATCTTTTTTGTCTTTCTTACCTTTACATTGAATGACTTGTCTGGAGCCACGCCGTATTGTTGTTTGGTTGTTAGGACAGGAGTCACATGATGTCATGCCGTAAATTGTCTGGTAAGTACCCACAGGACAGGTGGCGCACCGCTCGAGACCGTCTTTAGAGAAGGTTCCAGGTAGACATAGCGCTTTAGAAAAGGATAAATAGAAAAAAAAGTGAAAACAAAATGTCCTATATTTTGAAACATCAGCACTATCTATGCAATTTATTTTCCAAATATTAATTATGCACATGTTTCTTACCATATTAATGATATAATGTATGGATGTCCATAATTTTAGTGTCATCCAGTGTTACCTTAGTCGATAAACAAATAAACATAAACATATATATATATTCTATAGAAACGAACGTTTCATTAAGAGATTGCATCAACTACTTTAGGAAGTAAAATTGGAGTACAATATCGTTAAAACGCCAGCAAGAAGCGAAGAGGTGCCAAAACAAAATTGATCAAGGCTGATAATAGAATACCTTTACATTCGCGTTCAGATTTTGAGTTATTTCCGTGAGTAGACGTGTTATGAGGACACACCACACAGGTAACCTGGCCTTCCTTTGGCTGGAAACTTCCGGTCTGGCAGGAGTCGCACTCTTCAGATACAATGTTAAAGAATGTTCCAATGGGGCAAGGAACTGAAACCAAGTGAACATACCAAATAATGTTTTTGAATATTAAAGTACATCGCAACATTGACAGCAAGCCTGTTGCAAAATAAAATAACAGTTTGATAATACATTTCACCAATCCTGTAGAATATTTTTTACGAAAATAGAACAACTAATAACCCCTTTGCCAAAAATAAAAAAATGACTTTTATTTAAATAGTTAAAATGTAAAGAAAAAGTCGCAGTTGAACAAGGTATTGGTCATCTAGGTACAAAATTTGACAAACATCGGTCAAAAAAACCAGCAGCAGTTTTTCGGAAAAGAAAAGAAAATGGGACACAACTCCCATAAATAACCCAAATAAAACTAATCGAGAGCGCTTATGATAATGTACTCCGGAAGGGTATCCTAGCATTGCATGTGACACATGTATGATAAAGTCAGGAAAGGACATAGGTTACCAACGATTTAAGATACAATGTACATTTCTCTGTGTTAATGACAGTCTACAACCGAAAGTCAGGTCAGGAAGACGATTAGAACAGTTCTTCAGAGTGAATTGAAGCGCCTGGCTGTGTAAATGATAGGTCGGACAATGCTTCTGTCATGAAAATCTTCATTTTTATAAAAGGCCTTGTAGTGGAAAATCGTTTTTAACACCTTGATTGATTGGGAGAGGCATGGTGTATGCAGAACTGAAGAGCAGAGGATAACCATATGAGCAGTTAATAGTCTGATTCGTTTGTAATAACTCAAATACTTTACCTTAATCTAAAAACGATACTATCACAAAACATAAATTTCTTGTAAGGTGAAAACTCTTAGTTTTTAAAGTATGAACATTTAATTGCTAGCAGTTAGTAGACATTGGTATTTAAAGGCAATATAATGCCCTTTGACTAAATGCAATATCATTCACATTATGTAGGAACATCGATGGAATAAAATTGAATACTAAGACAAATAATGGAATGTTATAAAAAAAAACCCATCACATTTTGTACTTACCACACAAATCATTCACAGCTACACTACCGGGTTTACAGTTCGGCCGTGGTCCTTTAGCGTCGTAGGTCATATTGGCAAACTGCATTCGCTTCCCGCTCATCTCAAGGTCAAGCTCACCGTGTGTTGCTTTCCCTTCTAGCTTGGTCATGACATTGGACAGCTTGTCTGTCAGCACCTTTTGTCGGCTTATGTCCGCTGTAACATTTCCGGTTTTTGAAACCACACCTGTTCGCAAAGAAATGAGCACTTCTTTATTCAAATTTGTCTTCCAATTTACGACTAATGCACCTAATATCGCAATCATCCGAATATGTCGTTTAGATTGGTAAAATCAGTCTCTGGTTAAGTTAAATTGCATTAAGAGCGCTAACGCATATACCAGTTACATATGAAACAGCAACAGGTCGAATTTAATCTATCTGTTATATTTTTTTCGTTCAAATATTATTCAAAATAAGGAACTGGATGAAGTAAATGTATCAAAACAGTATCAACCTTTGATATCGAAGTCGAAAGTGATAATGCTGCTCGTAGTTATCCCGGGAGAACTTCGCTTGGCAACTCTTGTGTCTCCATGTCCGTGGTTAGTATAAGGATTAATGGTGCGGAGAAGGCTCCTCTTGTCTCGTCCAAGCACGACCCTGATTGTATTGAAGTCTGTTTGTTGGCAACAAAATAAAATGTTACAAGAAAATCGGACCCATTGAACACGAAATCATCACGAAAATACAACCATGTTGAACTGAGGGGAAATCACGCTTCAATCCCGCCCCTCCCTGTTCTAAAAGGGTGAGCGTTTCCTCGTTTTTGGCAACCGACACAATTCATCATGTCAAGTCCAGGAAAATACATAGGTCGCTAGCGATATGGGACAAAGTTAGCTTATATACACTACATGTCTTAGCTTACGATAACACGCATACAATTTCTTCAACGTCGACTGAAACCTCTCTGGTTGAAAACCCTGGCTAGGTAGTTTATTTGTCAACAGGACGCATCTATCAAATCATCCAAATAATTAGAACAAGTAGCACAAGAATACAAAAACAGTCATTCATTTTACAGATACCAACAAAAAACGTATTCAATAATAAGCAGTTCATGTGAACAATATTATCTGTGTATTATACTTTCTTATATTGCTTATTTAACAAACCCTGATTAAAAAAAGGTCTCATTTCTGTTAGCAACAAAACAATTGTAGTATGTCAGTTTTAAAAAGAAAAAATATATTACTATAAAAAAACTCTTCATTAATTAATGAACGCTTTATAAGCTATTCGAAATACTTACAAATATGACATTGGTACAGAATCGTTCTGACGACCCTTAATTTCCGAGTTTATAATGCATCTGTGAAATGCTTTGTTTTAGTGATTGTTTACAGCCAGAGAAATTCATTTATTTATATTATTTATTTCAGTCATACCTTCAGATTGTTCGCATGTTGTCGCGAAGTTCTCCACACTGCAAGAGAAACTGTCGGTACACAACGCGTTCACCTAGGATATAAAATAACAAACAAATATATATATTGTCTTTTTATGTGAGACTAAAGATGTATACACTGAATCAATCTATATCTATCTTTCCGGATCTTTTATCGACATTTTGTCATTTTGAAAACAAAATAGTGTTTAAAATCAATATTTTTAATGCGCACCTTACAGGCGATTCTGTTTGAATAAAAACTGTTTCCGTCATTATATATGGGTATTGTCGATATTACCTTTTCCGTCACCTTTCTCTCAAACGCCAGCTGTATTTCGTTGAGGACGTTGTGTTCGGCACAGGGCACACTAGCCAGGTAAGTGATGGAGGCTGGCTGCGTCATGGCTTCAGACACTGCCTTGGCTGGTAATACAAAAAGGACATGCAGGTCATTGTTATATTGCATACATAGGGTATCGTAATGTCCAAATGTCATGCTTTTGTAAGAAAACATTCATATTGTTTGCCTTCCCGTTCCATAAGTCCAAAAGCAATGTCTTTGCGTTACCTGATATATATGTAAACATGTAATATATAAAAAGTTCTTCAAAGCCTTTTTTCCAGATGACCAACAAGCTTTCCGAAAATATTAATACTTCATTATTATAAAGATGAATTGAATTAAAGACACATAAATCACATCGATTTAATATCTGTAGATACAAATTATATTGCAGAACTACAGTTGCTCCATGAGTAAGTTGATACATATCTGTTTGCTTTCTTGTTGGTAAAATCGCCATCTTCTAATTTCAAACTTTATGGATGAAAATCCTATTTGACCCCTTAAGAACAGTCAATAACTACTCTGACGTATGAATTACTACTGAACTACTAACCAGAGCAGTCAGGAATTGGCAGCTTGTCCTCTGGTCTCCAGACGTTGTCATACGCACAGAAGTACACGTCGGCTGGAGCTATGGCGAAGTCATATCCTTCGTTACACGTGACCCGGCAGTAAACACCATCTTCTTCCTCGGTACACTCCCTAGCCCCACTAAGCGGGACGTCCGGGAACTGGCAGGGGTGCGCTGATAGTTAGGAGGCATTTTGTGTTACGTATCGTTATATGTAGACATGTAAAATAGACTGATGGAATGGACATGGAATTTTGAGCTTCGTTGACATTTCAATATTAACATTCATCTGTATGGTGAATATCTACTTGTGAATTAATTACATAAAGCTGTTTTGATTAAAGATACTTACGAATGATTGAAATTTCCACATGACATGTACTGTTGTTTCCACTCTCGTCAAAGGCGACGTATCGGACGATTGTTGTCCCTTGATGAAACAAACCTGGTTCATGTGACCTTTCAACTCGAACCTTTTCACCAGAGTTGTCACTGAACTGTGGTTCGTTCCATGTGACATTTGCATATCGCTCAGCAGAAACAAACGGAAGAGGAGAGTAACATTGATCAACTGTTGGAGGGGTGACATCTGCAACAACAAGTGTCAATGGTCCCTTCAAATAGTCAATCTGCACGCATCATAACCAGAGTAAACTACTTTACACGTTAGAACAATGGGTAAGTCATTATAACAACAGCGTTAAAACGACAGTTTTCATTAGTTAATTTATGATTTGTTTCGTTCAATTTGCATTTAAACTATGCACCCGCAACGCCCTTACAAAATCCCAAACTCGTTTCCACATACATCCACGTTTCATACAGGATAGGGTCAAAGACAGCAGCGTCCAGAAAATTGAACATCAGCGACGTGCCGTATAAATACCGCTACATTTGTTTGAAGGTGCAATAACACATCCCTATATAAATAATTGGGTTGTGTAGGTCACGATGCATTACATATATGATTTCGAACTTGAAAGTTTTGGAAGAGAAAATCAACGTATAAGGTACAAAATTTTGATAGGCATACCATTATATCACAAGGTACACAATTTTGATAAGGCATACCATTATAGCACAAGGTACACAATTTTGATTTGTCGTGAAATCTTATAAAATGTATTCCTGATTGATTTCGCATGATATATAAGGATGTTCACTCATACTGCTTAGGTTATTACTATATAAGGGTATCTTATGGATTATGACATTTATTACCGACGTACCTCGAATTATGACGCTGAAATGACACTTTGCCATGTTCCCTTGGTGGTCCTCTGCGATGTACTTGACCGCTGTCAAACCTATAGGGAAACGTTTGGGAGGCTGGACGGCGGGCACCACCGTGACGGAGGGCCGATACCCGGAGTTGTCCAGGGCTAGCGGTACAATCCAGTCCACCTCAGCACTGTCTTCGGTGTCGTCTGCCTCCACATCAATGTTGAAAGGACAGCGGAGCAATGGCGGTTCCGTATCTACAGCAAAGACGGGGCAGTAAAGCGAGGGAAATATACTACATACATGCCAACTTTGTTTTAACTTTAATGGGGGAGATTACACATGCTCATAATTAAAATTTTGCAAATTCAGTGGTTAAAAATGCTCAATTAACGGGTACAAAAATCGTGGGTCTCCCTCCAAAATAGGGAGAGTTGGCAAGTATGATACTTGACATTGCAAACGAACGAACAGCAAAATGGGAAATAAACAAATGATAAAGATAAAAAGACATGTGTATCTAAACAAAATGAGAGATGCTCAATTATGTCTCAAAAGCATTAAAGTGAAATATTCTTCAAGCAATCTGACATGCGGCTTCCTTTCAACAAGTACGATACATTGACACATAGTTTCAATGACAAAGCATTATATTTTACAATGTTAAAAGAAGAAAAGGCCGGATATTTCGATTTATTGATTAAGTGAGGAACCTACCATCACATCTGCTCATTTCGCCATCCATGGACGGAATCCACATGCCGTCAGGCGTGCACTGTTTCCGACTCGATCCGACCAAAGTATATCCTGCATAGCACGATATTTGACATGTTGTTCCGAATGAGACTTCTCCAAGATTGCACATGGCAGGGAACACATTTCCGTCTCGAACAGATGGAAGAGGCTGGCATGTTATTTCTGAAATATTCACAGTAGGTCTCAAATCATATAGAAAGTAGTGCGTAACATTGCATACAGTATAATCAAAAAATGTGTCATTAAGAAATATGGAATCGTCTACATTTTTGGTTGATCGTATAGAGAGGCATCCGGAGGCGACTATCGTCGATTTTCTTTTATATCTTTAGTTTAGGGTACATCGATGACTTTAAGGTAAAATCATAACCACCATGATCTCATTGGTAAGCATTCTATGAATATTGACGTTTTTGTTTCTGCTAATTTCAGTACTTTATGGTTTCGTTGTAACAAACCCGTTGTATGCTTACCGCCTTTCTTTAAATTTTGCCTCAGTTTTATCGATTTCGTTTTCTTCATGATATATGTCCGTCTCAATCAACCACCATATGTTTGTTTCATTTTAGTTTATGAAAATTCTTCCCCTTCCAATTCAATGTCACAAATGCTTACCTCGACACCTAGTTGGGATGCCAGTCCACAGCGCGTTCGCTAGACACTGGCGTTTACGGGAGCCCACCAACTTGTACCCAGTGTCGCAGGTGAAACGACACATCGTGGAAAACGTGAAATCGTCGTTACTGCAGATCATATTTCCGTTTTTAGGCCTGGGCAGGGCGGGGCATGTCTTCACTGTGAAAAAAAGAAAAGGACAAAAGATCAAGACACCAGATATTCAGCATCAGGCCACACGAATCTAGAATCCAATTAACAGATGGTGTGATAGAATTCAAACACTACCAAGAATAACCTGTAAAGAAATACAAAATACTGACGTTACTGGCTACATGCAATGAAACATGTGTCGAATCCGACAGTTTTAACTAGTTCATACCTAGGTAACTTGAGTAGACTCTACCATATACTCATCGGAAGAGCCCGTTATGGTCTACAGTGGTGAAAGGGTTAATAAACACGTCGAAATAAGCTCGGCAGTGTAGAAACATTGAGAACAAATTTAGTGTTATCGTATTTCCTACAACTTGTGAGCAAAGAATACAAACAGTGTACGATAGGTAACAGATTATATTTACTTATGCAATTTGTGGGCGTGCCAGACCAGACTCCTCCCTCTTGACAGATTCGTAGACTACTCCCGCGTAATTCGTACCCGGGCTTACACTTCATTCCACACGCAGCGTTGAAGACATTGTTACACTTGTCGTTGACGAAGTAGCCATGTTTGGGCGGGGTCATCTCGGGGCAGGTCAACGCTGTCAACATTCAAGTAAAATTATTGGATCACAACATACAAGTAAGTAATATTGGATCAGCTCCACCATATAACGACAACGGTAGGAATGAAATTAAACGAAGAACTGGTCAGTTCCGTTCAAAGAATACCATTAACAAAAACAGTGTTATTTGCCAACATTTTTATTTGTAATTTATTTTTTTAAGTTTAAATTATGGGAATTTTACTAATTTCGTTTGAGAGGATAAAGAAACATTTGTTGAAAGCAAATTAAAATAACAATTGCATCAAGATCAAATATAAACTTATAATATTAGTGGTTTTACTTCGTTACATTTCTATAATGTGTAACTATTGTCTATTTCAGCCTTACCGTGGAAACAATATGCGCTATAGGTAAGGCCTATTTCAGAAACGTAAGAATTAGTAGTGTAATATGTAAATTGATTCTTTTCACATCTGTATATATTTTTTATTTTTGTCTATTTTTCTTTTATTTATTTCAATATATACCCCTTCTCCTTTATAGTTGGTGCATCTTCGAAATCTAAGAATTGAGCTCTCGATAATACATATCTATGGTGTGTGATGGTCAGAAAAGGGATTTAGAAAAAAATCTAAAATAATTTGTGGTAAACAATACTCATTGACATGCAAATAAGTTTCTGCCTTTACAGAGAATATTATCTCTGCAATCCGGTAACCCAGCAAACGAATACTGGACTCAATGACATCTGCATGGGCCGTAATCCCATATTACCATGTCTCCATTCCATGTCCAGTGGAGAGAAGCTTAGGAACGGCACATTGCTTAATAGTGCACACGTACCAATTAATTGCTTAATAGTGCACACGTACCAATTAATTGCTTAATTGAGGCGAAAAGAGCTCTGTAAGTAATTACAGACCCATATCTATTCTTCCAATTTTATCCAAACTCTTAGAAAAACATGTGCAGACTACCTTTTATAAGTTTTTAAACCAACATAATCTAATCATTGAGAATCAATCAGGATTTCGAAATATGCATTCATGTCAAACTGCTCTTACTGCACTTACAAATAGATGGTATGATGAATTGGACAAGGGAAACCTCATCGGTGTAATGTATATTGATTTTCGTAAGGCTTTTGACCTTGTTGACCATAAGATACTACTCCAGAAAATGAGTATATATGGATGCTCTGAAAATTCCATTATGTTTTTTACCTCATACCTTTCAAACAGATTTCAGAAAGTATCTTTCAAAAGTTCTTTAAGTGATGCCTGTGAAATTACAACTGGTGTACCTCAAGGTTCCATAATTGGGCCTTTGATGTTTTTATTATATGTCAATGATCTGCCACTCTGCTCAAAACATTGTGAACTTTTTATGTATGCAGATGATACTTCAATGCAAAAAGCAGACACAAATTTGGATGTTATCGAATCATGTCTACAAACGGATTTTAATCATGTAAAGAAATGGTGTGATGTCAACAAAATGGTCATAAATACTGATAAAACCAAAGTAATGTTAATTGGAAGTAAGCAAAAAAAAAAGAGACTAAAGAAAAATCTAAATATTATAGCTGAAAATTCAAACTTGGAAGTTGTACAAAATGAAAAACTGTTAGGCGTTCGTATTGATGACACCCTAACTTGGGAAAAACATGTACAAGACGTCCTAAAGAAACTTAATTATAAAATTTATCAACTATGTAGAATAAAGAAATTCTTACCAGTATCGGCAAGAATCACTTTCCACAACTGTTTTATACTACCATATATTGACTTTTGCTCGAACGTTTGGGGACATTGCTCTCAAAAACTGGTACACAAACTTGAAAGAATTCAAAAACGAGCACTGCGGATTATACTAGATGCCGACTATACTGTTCCCGGTGCACAGCTGTTTGTAAAACTAAAATGGCTGCCTTTTACGTACAGAGTTGAATATAACGAATGTGTTCTGATGTTTAAAGTAATAAACAAGCTATGTCCAAATTACCTAGACTGCAATACTCTTGTGAGCAATGTCCATACTATCCAAACCAGGTCAGCTGCGGCAGGTAGATATGTTGTACCCAAACACAAAACGGAAAAATTCAAAAGCTCTTTTAAATATAATGGACCGACACTCTGGAACAATTTGCCAACCACTGTCTCTAAATGCCAATCACTAAACAGTTTTAAGTTCGAGTGCAAAAAACATCTCAATGTAATCTATAAAGACAAGTGTAAAGAAAATTAAAAATCTGCACCCCCTTTCCCTCCTGAAATATCTATCTGCTGTAGTACCTGGAATATGACACACGTGTATCTAAATGAAGTTTTAGAATTTATCTTAATTACTATTCCTAATGCCCTAATCAACACTTTGGTATTAACTCACGCTACATTAGCGTATATTCTGTAATTTTTTACCCTTTGTCACAATGACATGTATGTATATTAGACGCATTATGCGTTTCTTAAATCTTCTAAAATGCAGCATGAGAATTTATGCATTGCATGATATTTAGCCAACTTTTTATTTTCCAATACACGTGTGACATATTTTATTGTAAGCCTGTGTGATATCACATACCAATATATCTGTGATATGTACTACGTAGTTTTGTTATTGGATACACGATGCAGGAGTGTGTTGTTGGTTTTTTGTTTTTTGTTTTAAAGATAATACAATGTTTTATTACCTGTGATATGTTACTTAATTTCTTATGTATGTACGTGTATGTCATATCCATGTTGTAAATATTGTACATTTTATGTCGACCACATGTGAGACTAGTCATTGACTCAATGTGTTATCGAATTTAAATAAAGTCTATTATTATTATTATTATTATTAATAATAGTGCACACGTACCAATTAATTGCTTAATAGTGCACACGTACCAATTAATTGCTTAATAGTGCACACGTACCAAAAAGAAACAAAATAGAGAACAATGGCCTGTTCTTTTATGCGGAATAACCGGTTAGTCTTTTTTTAAATATAACGTTTTTATTAATAAGCCCTAGCGGACCTGAAAATGTTAATGCAGGATTTGAAAAGCTTTGTCAAGGTTCGCCTGAACTCAGCATCAGATTACTAGGTCGGACCTTATTTCATAAACGATCAACTCTGGTCCAAGCGGTCCAGCTGTTTGGACGGCGATAAACAAAAGCGGCCCCGTACACAGTTTCATTTGTAACCTATATATGCTGTATTGCATTTGAATATAATAAAACTTGATGGTCATAACTCCTTTGAAAGAATATTTTACCGTCAAAAAACTGTTTTTGCTACGAAAACAGAGGTATCTGTAAGTGAAATCGATTGTATCATCACTCAAATAACGTATAGACTACTGTCATTTGCTTTGTTGAAGAGTTAATGTAGAACATAGTTCAAGATAGTTCCAAAGTTTGATATATGGGGGAAATTTTGTTTACGTAAACGAGTTGTTCAAAACGCAAAAATCTGCTTGGGAATAGAGTTAATCGGATTCAACATACCTTATGTAGAAGGTTTGGTACCTTACTGTAACCCAAAAGTTCTACTTGAGCCTTAGCGAGTGTCTATTTTCAGATATCCAACTAGTCTAATGTGTGATCTCAAGTGCGGAACCTGGGTTTCAAAGAAGTATGCTATTTTTCAGGAAGACAAGACATTAATGGAAAATGTTTAACGAGTAGCTTTGATAGCAAGCGGGAGTACTCATCAACGTGTTCGCCAATAGTGACATATAACGGGTACGTGAACGCTATCAATATATGACAAATTCACCATCCAGTTAGATCGAGAAGTCATGACGTATTTCAAAACTACCATAAAATGTTTATTATATGTAACAGGACAGACATACCCGAACATCCGGTCTCATTGAAACTCCTGAAACCTTTTTTACAGAAACATTGTGATGACGACAAAGCACCAGGTTCTGTTATGTGGTTGAGGTCTGGACAGGTAGTACAGGAAGTGACGTCACCGGGCCCTCTAATCCTCTTGTAGGTTCCGGAAGGGCAGGCTGCAGAAAGAACAATTAGATTTTATAAAAGTTATTTTACATTCCATCATACATTATGTTTATTTCCTTGTACTAAAAAGAAGCTAATTGGATTATAGATCAGTACATTTCCGTCGTGAATAAAAACTATTTTTAAATGAAAATATTTTCAAGTTAAAATCAAACTTCAAGCAGGGCTCCTCTAATGAATGCACCTGGTTGAGGTTGCTTTTCTTATCAAAAGTTAAATTTCCATTACACTGGTAGTAATGCAACGTACACTAAGATAACAAAATCATACATCAGTCATGGTTTTCCATCCAAAACGCCTGATTGGGATTGCTATTCAGGGCAAAAGGTCAAGGTCACACTTTTAACAAAAACATGAAATATGATTCTTCACAATAACTTGAAATCTCGTTGATCAAATTTAAGTTAAGTTTACTCGGGTAAAATTAAGGTTAAAGGTCAAGATCACCATTGTTATGAAAGAAAACTAAAGCTTTTGTAAAATAAATTGATTTTCCTTTGGTCACCCAAATTCATCTCAATACAGGGAGTATTACATCTGAAGTACTAACGTCGTGTTGCGTTAGGCCACTGATATAATGATGAGAAAATCTTTAACCATCTATCCATCGACATTAATAATCAGCAGGAATTAATAAAGCTCAGCTATTCCCTGTCATACTTACGGAAGCAATCCCCGGGGAGGCCAGTGCCGTAGTGACCACCCTGGCAGACACACAGGAATTGGCCCACGTGAGTACCACACCCACACGTGGCCCGGGGGTCACAGCATGCTCCTGCCCCGTGACACAGGTGAGAACAGCGGTCCAGTGGCTGCTCCATGAATGTACCCATACTGAGATCTGAAGAAAGGGGTCTCGACCATTACGAAATCGATCATTCGTTCGATCATGTTCATGTATCTTAATACAGACACAGGAACTAGAATTCAGGTCTATATATAAGTATTTGTTTTCTTTTTTTATCATGACAAAACAAATTAACAATGTGTTCGTAAATATCAAAACTATATTTAAAAAACAAAATTAGATGTTTATACTCTAGGCATTCGTATGGTTTGATAACATTAAAGATTCAGACCTTGAACAAAGTATGATGATCAAGTAATATTTTAAGACTCGACGGTACTCCATATTTACTAGGGCTGCAACGATATATCGTGCGACGATATATGGCGATATATTGAATATGGTCCGATACACAATATTTTTGGGAGTTCACGATACAGCTACGATAATTTCTAGATTTTTTCGTTTCTGAATTTAACCTACTCGTTTCTGTTCCAATATGGAGAGTGCCAGTTCCAGCTCGGCATGCACGTTGGAAGAAGTGAATTGTGTGAAACTTTAAAGGCATACCCATATTGGACTAAGTCTGTTTCCAGTTGTAATATTGCCACTTTAACTTTGGAACATATCTTGTCTCTTTGCTTCAATTATTACTATGTGTATCGTGATACGTTTTTGTGTCGTGACCAAAGTATCGTGATACAAATTGTGTCGTGACCAAAGTATCGTGATACGTATTGTGTCGTGACCAAAGTATCGTGATGCGTATCGTATCGTCAAGTTAATGTATCATTTCAGTCCCAGTATATACCTTCATGCAAAGCTCTGCGTGCCAGGGACTCGAACTCCTCAAACGTGTCCAGGATGTAGCAGGTCTCGTTCTTAGGCTCCGAGGCCATGTCATACAGCTCATGCACGTTTCCATTTCGAATTCCAAACGTGAAGATTTTCACTCCATTTTTACGTAGGACGTAAGCTTGTGGTCTGGGGTCGCCGCCATTGGAGAAACCGTCAGTGATGAGGAATACGGCTTTCTTGGAATCTGGGCGGGAGTGGGCCAAGATGTCCTGTGTGGTACATACAAAATGTCAATATAATGTGTACGTCATGTACGTCATACGGTGGTCAATACCACACGTGTGTTCATCAAACGTCTCAGGTTAAACGAGTGCATTGTGCATACTGATCCCCTTGTCACAGGCAAATCTGTGCCTACACATTTGAAACTGGTTTTTTTCCAGCATGGCTATAGCTTTGATAAATCATTTCTGAAAAGAACACGAACCCTTGCGGGACTTTTATGAATAGATAAAAAGTAAAAATAAACAAAATATAATCAACAACACAGTGCAGAGTGTTGAAAGTCAGCAGGGGTTTGGTCGGGACTACAAATGGTTATACTGTCACCCTAACCGGCTGAGCTACATGGTCATAACAGAGCAGTCTACCGTCACTGTACCCAAATCGGGACAGTACCCAAAACGGGACACCAAAACGGGACAGTACCCAAATCGGGACAGTACCCAAACGGGACACTCTTATGNTCATTAACTAAAGTAATACCAATAGCTGGCGGCTAACGCCTTAGCTAAAAACAAAACTTTCCCGATTTATCTGCGACGCTATCTATTTGAACCACGCGCCCGAAATATCAAATTGTGATAGAAATGAAAAGTGGATAGTATCTATTTATGAAAAATGAACAAATATTTTTGGAATTGATAGTATGGTATATAGAACATTGATATTTATGTAAGAAGTGTCCCGATTTGGGTACAGTGACGTTAGCACAGCTTCGCTACAGCTATATCCAGAACGAAAGTAAGGGGAGGTTATCGTATATTAGAACTGATTAACACCTATCTGTGGTATCGCTTTTGTTATATGGGTGAGTGTTTTTATTAATTTGAACAGAATAACAATGGCCAACAAAACTACGTCTTGGAGTTCAAAAACCATTGCGTAAAATAACGCTAAAATGTTCAGAATCCGTTCTTGTTTCAATTCGTCTATTTGAATAGTAGATAACAACCAAGGAGTTCGAGCGAAACTGGCGTTAAGGCTTCACTGTGGGAGTGCAAGATCCTGTATTATCACATTATGAAATACGGATCCTTATATGTCATGGCTGGGAAACATGCTGTACTGTTACAGTGAAATTCGCCAACTAAGTAATAAGATATAGATATAAAGAGAAATCTTTTAGATTCCCTGACCTCATATAATTTATATTTCGTAGAATATAACTCAAATATGAACATGTGAATATATATATTATCCAAAACTCCCGATAAACGTATTTCTTATATTATTTGTTTTGTGTCATTTAAGGACGTGCTAGGTGGTAGTGGTGGAGGAAAGCCGGAGTTCCTGAAGAAAAACCACCGACCAACGGCCAGTACCTAGCGACTGCTCCACGTAGGCCTCGAACCCGCGACCCAGTGGTGGAGGGCTAGTGGCAGCAGAATGGCCACCGCGACCCCATTTCTTATATGAAACAACTTTGTACATTGTATAGAAGAACCAATCGTTTTCAGGTAACTACAGATAACGTTCCCTAATGAGTTATATGTATCCGAAACTCGACAACCAATAACTGCTGTGCATCATGGATTATAGGTAGATGGGGCTGTGTTTCATGCCATCATAAATGTTAAAAAGATGCATTTCAATCCTTAAATGAAGATGAAGGACGTCCGGTAAATAGACATATACTGACTGATTGCTTTTAATCATATAATACACGACATATGTTCATTGCTTACCTCCCAAAAACACTATAGGTTTCCTGTTTATCGTACATCACGTCAACAACATAAAACACCCATTCGTGGACATTATGTTACAAATATAATGCCGTTCACTGCCTACTTATGAACGTCACTGGGGAGGGGGATTACCGGCAGTCATTCAGTGTAGAACGTCCCTTAGGGAGATAGGGTGTGTGTGTGTGTGTAGGGGGGTTACCCGGTATTTCATCAGTGTAGAACGTCCCTGGGGAGATAGGGTGTGTATGTGTGTTGGGGGAGGGGAGGGGGTACCCGGCAGTTCTTCAGTGTAGAACGTCCCTGGGGATATGGGGGAAGGAGGGGGGGTTACCCTGCAGTTCCTCAGTGTAGAACGTCCCTAAGGGAGTTGGGGGAGGGGAGGGGGTACCCGGCAGTTTCTCAGTGTACAACGTCCCTGGGGAGGGGGCATTACCCGGTTACTCTTCAGTGAAGAACGGACCACATGTGGTAGGACAGAATCTAAAAACCGCTTGAAGATGATTGATTATAGTTATGTATCGTAATACCCTCTGGGTCAGTGTAGGTCTATATTGTCAGGTCTGTTACAGTTTCCAGACTCTCCCTCCTGCCGACTACCGATCATATCACAAATAATTTCACTCTCGTTCTCCAACATAAGGTAAATAATATACATCTGACGTATAATTTGTGGTATATGGGTCACATTTTCTATCATAATGCCACGATGTTATCTCTGATTTATGTACATGCGTAGAAAGTTATGTTAAAACAAGTTTGTAGAGTTCGTTTGGACTGTTAAAGTGACTTTAATTTATAAAAATCTTTAAGATATCTTAAATACATGATGAATACCTTTGCTCCTTCGCAAAAAAGTGTCATTTTTTAGACAATTTTTAAAATTGAAACTTAACAGTGACTTAACTTTATTTTTGTTTAAGTTTTATCAAAATCAATGAACAAATAAAGCTGCCAGAGTGATGTCACTTAAATGGTAATTTTGATCAATATGTGACAGCTTTTGAAAACCTTCTACACTGTAAATTTCAGTTTACGGAAATAAATAGTCACTGTCGTTGACTCGGAGTGACATTTCGTGTCGGTGAAATTTGTCATTGCTTTAGTGAACGTTTTCCTAAACTGACTTAAGAAATATATATACAAAGGTCAAGTACGAGAATACCCTGAATATCTTCGTGTTCTATTTATAGAAATTTCAAAATTAGCATACATACAATTATATATATATGGATAAATACACTTCAACACATAATGTTGTACGTGGTCAACTAACACAGAATTGTCACATTGGGTCAACTAACACAGAATTGTCACATTGGGTCAAACACACAAAATGGTCACACACAGTCAACCAGCTTTGAATTGTCACAGAGCTAACTAACACAAAATTGTCACACAGGGTCAACCAACACAAAAATGTCACACACGGTTAACCAACATGGTTTGTTAAATAGGGTTAACCAATACAAATTGTCGAACAGCGTCAAGCAACACAAAATTCTCACAAGGTAAAACAAACAAAAATGTCACACAGGGTCAACCAACACAAAATTCTCCCATAGTCAACCAGCACAAAATTCTCACACAGGCTCAACCAACACAAATTCTCCCACACAGGGTCAACCAGCACAAAATTCTCCCACACAGGGTCAACCAACACAAAATTCTCACACACAGGGTCAACCAACACAAAATTCTCACACAGGGTCAACCAACACAAATTCTCCCACACAGGGTCAACCAGCACAAAATTCTCCCACACAGGGTCAACCAACACAAAATTCTCACACAGGGTCAACCAACACAAAAATGTCACACAGGGTCAACAAACATGAACTTCTCACACAGGGTCAACCAACACAAAATTCTCCCACACAGGGTCAACCAACACAAAATTCTCACACAGGGTCAACCAACACAAAAATGTCACACAGGGTCAACAAACATGAACTTCTCACACAGGGTCAACCAACACAAAATTCTCCCATAGTCAACCAGCACAAAATTCTCACACAGGGTCAACCAACACAAATTCTCCCACACAGGGTCAACCAGCACAAAATTCTCCCACACAGGGTCAACCAACACAAAATTCTCACACACAGGGTCAACCAACACAAAATTCTCACACAGGGTCAACCAACAAAAAAATGTCACACAGGGTCAACAAACATGAAATTCTCACACAGGGTTAACCAACACAAAATTCTCCCCCTCAGGGTTAACCAATACAAATTGTCGAACAGCGTCAAGCAACACAACATTGTCACACAGGGAAAACCAATTCAAAAATGTCACACAGGGTCAACAAACATGAAATTCTCACACAGGGTCAACCAACACAAAATTCTCCCACACAGGGTTAACCAATACAAATTGTCGAACAGCGTCAAGCAACACCTAATTGTCACATATGGTAAAACAAACAAAAATGTCACACAGGGTCAACAAACATGAACTTCTCACACAGGGTCAACCAACACAAAATTCTCCCACAGTCAACCAGCACAAAATTCTCACACAGATTCAACCAACACAAAATTCTCCCACACAGGGTCAACCAGCACAAAATTCTCCCACACAGGGTCAACCAACACAAAATTCTCCCACACAGGGTGGGTCAACCAACATAAAATTCTCACACAGGGTCAACCAACACAAAATTCACACAGGGTCAACCAACACAAAATTCTCCCACACAGGGTCAACCAGCACAAAATTCTCACACAGTGCCAGTCAATACATTATTGTCGCACAGTGCCGGTTAATACAACATTGTCACACAGGGAAAACCAATTCAAAACTGTCACACGGGGTTAAACATGAATAAAATTGTCACATAATAGTTGATACGGAAAACATTCTATTCTAATTTTGCTATATAATATACGAACGGGCAATACTGCAATCGAATCGCAAGCCGTCTTAAATTTAACCAGCACGTCAATACCGTATACACTCCCCAGATTTTGTAGTAAAGTGTTATAATTAAGCAATAGCGAGGTTGGTGTTCTTGGTAAACAGCTCTGATTTCAATCAAAACAAAAACTAGAAGAAAATCTGTAACGCTATACAAAATGACATAACTTTGACGTCAATTAGCAGGAAATGAAAAGTTTGTTTATAAAACAGAAATTATAGTCGATGACACATGTGTTACACGACCGACCAGCGGGTGGGATGTTGATGTAATACGACACTACATTTGGGGGAGTTCACACTGCGTTAAGTGTTATCGAGCTGCATATGGCGCTGAGTCACGTGCAGTGGTCACTTCCGTCAGAATGCTACCAGTTACCATGGTTACAAGTTTGGAAAGACCATAGCTCTTCCTGATAAGATTGGGGTATTTGTGAAACTGGTTACTAATTAAAACAGTGTTGTTGATAAAGCTATTTTTTTTGGAAAAAGGCCAGGTGAGTCGTTGGAAAACTTGGTACAACTCATTACTTTTCGTTTAAAATAAAAATGAATTACACAAGTACGTGATGTAAACACAAGACATGGATAGGGTATATCAGGGATACACGACATGTATAGGGTAGACGCGACATGTATAGTGTATACGCGACATGTATATTGTAAACATGACCGTATAGTGTAAAACGATATATATATAGTGCATACACGACCGTATAGTGTAAAACGATATATATATATAGTGTATACACGACCGTATAGTGTAAAACGATATATATATAGTGTATACACGACCGTATAGTGTAAAACGATACATATATTATAGTGTATACACGATATGTATATTGTAAACATGACCGTATAGTGTAAAACGATATATATATAGTGTATACACGACCGTATAGTGTAAAACGATATATATATTATAGTGTATACGCGATATGTATATTGTAAACATGACCGTATAGTGTAAAACGATATATATATTATAGTGTATACGCGATATGTATATTGTAAACATGACCGTATAGTGTAAAACTATATATATATTATAGTGTATACACGACCGTATAGTGTAAAACGATATATATATATATATGGTATACAATATATGTATAGTGTCCACACGACATGTATAGTGCCCACACGACATGTATAGGGTATACACGACATGTATAGGGTAAACACGACATGTATAGGGATACACGACATGTATAGTGTACACACGACATGTATAGGGTAAACACGATATGTATAGTGTATACACGACATGTATAGGGGAAACACGACCGTATAATGTAAAACGATATATATATTATAGTGTATACACGACCGTATAGTGTAAAACGATATATATATATAGTGTATACACGACCGTATAGTGTAAAACGATATATATATATATGTGGTATACAATATATGTATAGTGTCCACACGACATGTATAGTGTCTACACGACATGTATAGGGTATACACGACATGTATAGTGTACACACGACATGTTTAGGGTAAACACGATATGTATAGTGTATGCACGACATGTATAGGGGAAACACGACCGTATAATGTAAAACGATATATATCTTATAGTGTTTACACGACCGTATAGTGTAAAACGATATATATATATGATATAAAATATACGTATAGTGTATACACGACATGTATAGTGTACACACGACATGTATAGTGTACACACGACATGTATAGGGTATACACGACATGTATAGTGTAAACACGACATGTATAGGGTAAACACGATATGTATAGTGTACACACGACATGTATAGGGTATACACGATATGTATAGTGTAAACACGACATGTATAGGGTATACACGATATGTATAGGGTATACACGACATGTATAGGGTATACACGACATGTATAGTGTACACACGACATGTAAAGGGTAAACACGACATGTATAGGGTAAACACGACATGTATAGGGTAAACACGACATGTATAGGGTATACACGACATGTATAGGGTACACACGACATGTATAGTGTACACACGACATGTATAGTGTATACACGACATGTATAGTGTAAACACGACATGTATAGGGTAAACACGACATGTATAGTGTATACACGACATGTATAGGGTAAACACGACATGTATAGTGTATACACGACATGTATAGTGTATACACGACATGTATAGGGTAAACACGACATGTATAGTGTATACACGACATGTATAGTGTATACACGACATGTATAGGGTAAACACGACATGTATAGTGTATACACGACATGTATAGTGTATACACGACATGTATAGGGTAAACACGACATGTATAGTGTATACACGACATGTATAGTGTATACACGACATGTATAGGGTAAACACGACATGTATAGTGTATACACGACATGTATAGTGTATACACGACATGTATAGGGTAAACACGACATGTATAGTGTATACACGACATGTATAGTGTATACACGACATGTATAGGGTAAACACGACATGTATAGTGTATACACGACATGTATAGTGTATACACGACATGTATAGGGTAAACACGACATGTATAGTGTATACACGACATGTATAGTGTATACACGACATGTATAGGGTAAACACGACATGTATAGTGTATACACGACATGTATAGTGTATACACGACATGTATAGGGTAAACACGACATGTATAGTGTATACACGACATGTATAGTGTATACACGACATGTATAGGGTAAACACGACATGTATAGTGTATACACGACATGTATAGTGTATACACGACATGTATAGGGTAAACACGACATGTATAGTGTATACACGACATGTATAGTGTATACACGACATGTATAGGGTAAACACGATATGTATAGTGTATACACGACATGTATAGTGTATACACGACATGTATAGGGTAAACACGACATGTATAGTGTATACACGACATGTATAGTGTATACACGACATGTATAGGGTAAACACGACATGTATAGTGTATACACGACATGTATAGTGTATACACGACATGTATAGGGTAAACACGACATGTATAGTGTATACACGACATGTATAGTGTATACACGACATGTATAGGGTAAACACGACATGTATAGTGTATACACGACATGTATAGTGTATACACGACATGTATAGGGTAAACACGACATGTATAGTGTATACACGACATGTATAGTGTATACACGACATGTATAGGGTAAACACGACATGTATAGTGTATACACGACATGTATAGTGTATACACGACATGTATAGGGTAAACACGACATGTATAGGGTATACACGACATGTATAGTGTATACACGACATGTATAGTGTATACACGACATGTATAGTGTATACACGACATGTATAGGGTAAACACGACATGTATAGTGTATACACGACATGTATAGTGTATACACGACATGTATAGGGTAAACACGACATGTATAGTGTATACACGACATGTATAGTGTATACACGACATGTATAGGGTAAACACGACATGTATAGTGTATACACGACATGTATAGTGTATACACGACATGTATAGGGTAAACACGACATGTATAGTGTATACACGACATGTATAGTGTATACACGACATGTATAGGGTAAACACGACATGTATAGTGTATACACGACATGTATAGTGTATACACGACATGTATAGGGTAAACACGACATGTATAGTGTATACACGACATGTATAGTGTATACACGACATGTATAGGGTAAACACGACATGTATAGTGTATACACGACATGTATAGTGTACACACGACATGTTTAGGGTAAACACGATATGTATAGTGTATACACGACATGTATAGTGTATACACGACATGTATAGGGTAAACACGACATGTATAGGGTAAACACGACATGTATAGGGTAAACACGACATGTTTAGGGTATACACGACATGTAAAGGGTAAACACGACATGTTTAGGGTATACACGACATGTATAGGGTAAACACGACATGTATAGTGTACACACGACATGTATAGGGTAAACACGACATGTATTGGGTAAACATGACATGTATAGGGTATACACGATATGTATAGGGATACACGACATGTATAGTGTATACACGACATGTATATTGTAAACATGACATGTATAGGGTATACACGATATGTATAGGGTAAACACGATATGTATAGGGTATACACGACATGTATAGGGTATACACGACATGTATAGGGATACACGACATGTATAGTGTATACACGACATGTATATTGTAAACATGACATGTATAGGGTATACACGATATGTATCGGTTATACACTATATGTATAGGGATACACTATATGTATAGGGATACACTATATGTATAAGGATACACGACATATATAGGGAATACACGATATGTGTAGGTTTTATGTTGAGGACTCATGTGTTGTGTATGGTTAGGATTACTTCTGTTTAGGGGTTTTAGGTGACACACCTACCTTTGCCTGTAGAAATGCCCCCAGTGTGTATGTTCCTCCGCCTCTGAACTTGATCTTAGGAATGTCCTCTTGTAAGAGTGAGCACTTGTGTTTGTCCTCCGTACTGTCGGCAATGTAGTCTATCTGACGCAGCACGCGACTTTTGGAGGAGAAAGTCACCACCGACACTCGAGTGTGATTGGAGTCAACTGTGAAATCAGCTAACAGTTTCCTCACGAACTTCACCTCATTGATGAAGTCGTGGGGCCCAACACTTGACGAACTGTCCACAAGGAAGATGATGTCAACCTTCTTGTTCTTCGTCTCGCGCAACTCCGACACGTGTCGTTTTAGCACGGGACCGAGTGTGTTCACTTTGTTCTTGTTTAATTGAGGAATAGGGCTGTTCATGTACGAACTGTATTGGTTATGTCTCCTCTCCTCCGTATCTCGGTACGACCGGGATATCTTGAACTCTAACAGAGCACATAGGAGCACCAGTCTCCAGACTGAACACAGCTTCCGGTGCATTGTTGCACGTTCACGAGTTACAACACAATTCGGGTAATCCGAAGACCGGCCATTGAGGATCAGTAGTCCTGCATTGCTCCTCCACTAAGGGGAAATGTCGAGATCGGTACACGTCGTTTGTATACAAACTTTAAGGTGGGAGAGTATGTTCGACTACTGTAACTAGATAGCCTGATTTGAGAGTCGGAGCCTGGTTCATTTATCATTCTAGTACGAGTTACCGGACGTTATCACCTCGGGACCATGCTGAGTTTTACTGGGTGAAGATCATGCTGATAAGTGCCAGTTTTACACTGGAACCTCACTGTGCGCACTGCACCAGTAAGTCGGGTTTGTTTTTCATCACGGAGATTATAATATTGAGGTATTCATTTCCTGTAGATTTTTTTTTGGTCCTGTTATTGATTGACCGAAAGTTTTAAAATCTTACCAAACCAAGTTATTAACACGTCGGCAACCGTGGAATACGTCACCGAATACGAATTAGTGAAAGAATTGTTAGCTTTGTCTAGTCAGTGAGATACTAAGCTTCTTTTGAGAGAGAAAAAAAGTTCTATTTCTTAAAACATTACATTGTTCTATTTAAGTTTTTGAATTAAGTACACATGGTCATAAAATATAGTTCTATTAAGAAATAAAAAAAAAAACCTATCAATTGTTTTAGTCAAAGAACTAGTACGCTTCGTCATATGGTGACAAAGTCAGTACAGACCTACGATGTTATTCATATGTAACGCAAATACAGACGGATTAACTGACAAGAAAACAGTGGCTATAGCAATATTAATAATTTGTTTCACGATTAACTTATATATATATATATTTTGTCGTAAAGACTTATACAAATATGTAATTATTTTACGTTTGTGTCTCCCACGCCAAAAATTGTAAGTAGAGTCAGTGCTTATAGTTAACACATGATTTTCACCAGTAAGATATACAAATAAAGTGCACTAATTAATCACGTGTACTTCACGAGTAAATTAAAATAAATAATATACTTATTTTACACGTGTGATTGACACGAAACAAATGTGAGTAAAGTATTGTACTTATGTTACATATGATATATAAATAAACCTATAACTAATGTGTAATGAGTAGTGTATCTATTTTGCACATATTTTACCGGCAACCAGCATTGTATATAATGCAGTGTTCTCTTTTAATGCATTAATGCATGTAATCGGTTGAACTTGCTATATAAAGGTTGTTGGTTAGTTGTTTTTGTTTATGGTCATTTAAGATTTTGGTAGTGGAGGAAAATCGGTCAGTGCCTGGTCGTTATGGCTTTAAACAATGTATATATCGGCCATAATGACTTGAAACAGTTGCCATGGCTGCATATCGACTGTTCTGACTGTATATATCGGTTGTCATAGCAACATCGACTGCATTGGCTCTATATCGACTGTCAAGCGCGTAGCTGCCTATACGCTAGTTAAGGATTGAACGTCTGTCAGATTGCAGTTACAGCCAATATGAAAGCAATCTGTGTGACAGATAACGTCCGTTAGGACGTCATGATTATTTATCTGTCACCTAGATTGCATTCATATTGGCTGTAACTGCGATCTGACATACCTTGAATCGTTATATTTACATTTCCTCATACGACCTTTCTTTTATTAATTAGTCGGACGAGCTTAATTTATATTTCCTGCTGCCGCAAAACCTCACTGGTCCAATTCTTGGAACAGCCGCAGACGGCCAATTTCATACCGAAAACTTTCCAAACAACGGTCGCCATTAAAAAATGTAACACGGCGACAACTGTTAAATGCAGTTAAATGCCCTAATTATATGTGCAGAATATTCTAATACAAAAGTAAGAACTTACCTTCCTATTCTGGATGTTTTCATTGTCTGCAAAGTCGGTCAAAATGCTATTTGTATAAACCAAACGACACCAAGATGGCACCTTTCGTATCGGTGGGAGTAGTTGCTAACACTGACGTCACGGAAACCATGGTCATGTGACCAGATAATATAGACTGCAGTTACTGTCCAGTAAATGCAGGCTGACTTTCCAAAGACTTAATGGGAAATGGGAAGAGCTTGTTCCCCTATTAAGGCCCTGTACTGGACCTGCTTCTAAGTGAAACCACTCCAAACAATGGCTAGCTATGCCTCTGACATTATTACGGCTATGATAACTTAGTATCGACTGTGATGGCTCTGCATCGGTTATCATGAACCTTTACTGTACTGGCAATATATCGGCTGCCAAATAATGTCGGCATATATCGACAGTACAGCTAAGCCCGAGTTTCCTCTGGCCCTCATACCAGACTTAGACATTTTGACAAATAGATGTCTGGTGTGACATCTATCTGTCAAAATATCCAAGTCTGGTGTCACGGCAAGAAGAAACTCGTACTACGGTACAGCTATGCACCGTCTATACTGACTATATATCAGTTATAATAATAATAATATATAACTACACAGGCTTTATGTCGTTGACATGGCCTGATATCGAAATAGCTGGCTATTTATATGGCGTAACGGTTTATATAACTGAACTGGCCGTTGTGGGGTTTTTGTGTTGGGAACTTTGTAAAAGATTACTTTTAATCTAGTCACGTGAATGTTTGCATTGGATGACGGCTGTAAAACGTTTTTATGTCAAGGAGTATATGATAGGGAACTTCCCTTTGAGGCTTGCCGGTGTTCCTTCCAAGTATCTCCACTTGTCTTGCCGTAGCTTTGAGATGCTGTATTATGCGTAAATTCGTGGTTCTTCGCGAATGCTTGAAAGCTAGCGATCTAAACTTGTGGACCACTAAAGAAATTTCGCCAGGTATTCCGTATTGGGCGAATCATGTTTTTAGATGTACAATCGTGGTCACTGCCGACAAATTCTCCAACTTTACCATTTCTGGCCACTTTGAGAAATGACCTCATCCTCGATAGCCAAGGGAAAACGCTCACTTGCGTTGTCTGCGCCCCTGAAATATGTCATGACGAAATTGAAGGCTCATTGTGGATGATACAAGTAGTCTAGTCTGATCCTTTGGTGTGTACATCAAAATAATCGAGGTGCATTATGACGGGTAGAGTTGCTTGTGACTGTGAAATCGGGTGTCGCTCCCCTGTAATCTTCAAAGATTGGTCACTTTTTTGTACCCGAGACCAATCAATTGGCTATCGCCATGGCTTTATATTCCCCATAGCATATTCCAGGGATGCAGAGAGCGTAAGTTAGAGTGTATCCCCTGAAGTATCGAGGATGGTTTCAGTTGATCATCGCTCAGGAATGCTCGACTAAGCCAGTCCACAAGAAACATCGTTTTATCCACTTTGTCGGTAACCGTGAGTTTGTACTGCTGTACAGATAGCAGAATTATTTTCAGTCGTATGTGTGCCAGGTAAAGTGGTATTGTGAATATGTAAGCCACTTGTGTGTAACACTCTTTTCGGCATTCAGATTGAGTTGTATAAGAGTGCTTTTTGGGATCTCGCAAACGTAAACTTTGGCAAACCAAGGGAGAGTCTGAGCAAATAATTGTCTTTTGAATGCAGTATGCGAATGCACTCCCGAGGCATATAACTGGATTTAGCCCGCTCATGCAATACAAATTAATATCTAGTGTTTGTATAGTCTATGGTAGAACATCAAGAATGTTTTATTTTTAACTTATGTTGAGTTCTAGCAGGATATGTTCTGGTATTTTCGGTTGATCACCGGGTTGAAGTTGAATTTAAGGTTGGATGGCTTACTGTTTAGTTTGGTTTAGTATTGTTTAACGTCCTATCAACAGCTATGGTCATTTAAGGACGGACCCCCTGTGTACAAGATGCATGCGTGTATGTGTATGCTTGTGTTTTGGGAGGCTGCGATATGTTCGTGTTTGTCTCCTTGTGATAGCACGGAACGGATGCCGACTTTATAGTGCTATCTCACCGAAACATACTGCCGAAGACACCCAGCAGGACACCCCCCCCGGTCACATTATACTGACAACGGGCGAACCAGTCGCACCACTCCTAAACTGCTGAGGGTTAAGCAGGAGTAGAAACTACCATTTTTACAGACTGTGGTATGTCTCGGCCAGGGGACAGAACCCAAAGCCTTCCTCACAGCGGCGAACGCGCAGCTAAAGGCCGAAAGTGAGGCATTGTCATGGGAGACATGGCAGCATACTGTAGCGCTAGCTTTTTTTCATTCGGACATTAAAAGATGGTAACCTGTGCGTCCACGTCAATGCAAAGAACCAAACGAGCAAACATGTCTATGCATTATATGGTCATCTCGTCTATCACGGAATTAGATTAGATCTAAGTCCGTGCGTCTATCAAGGACTCATCAGTGCACTAAACCTAAAACGTTTTCTATAATCTCATCCAGCTACAAGTTTACGACAAACCTTGGGGCTGAAGTCCACCACCTTGTAAACCCCCTTGTGATGGAAAATAATCACGGGGCCTGTTCGTTAATGCGGAACAACTGGTACGTCCGTTTTTTTAAATTTAAATCGCCTGAAAGCAGCATCAGATTACTAGGTCCGACATTATTTGTTAAACGAACAACTGTGGTCCGATCGGTTGAACCGTTTAAACGAAAACGGCGTAGAAAGACGAAAAAGGACACACATAGAAAAAGAAATAGACATGTGTCTATTTAGGTGTGGTAGTTAGTGGTAGTAAGTTTTAAAAAAAATCCGTGTCCAAAGTGATCCGATTAATTTACATTAATTTTATTTCCCATCATTACTTTCCAGAGACGGGATATTGACCAATCATAAAACAATAATTCAATCATTTACATGAAACTTGGTTCTGATAAACATTTTTCCTGAACAGGAATTCGACCTCAGAATTGATAAAACTAGAGCAAAATATAAATAAATGATTATGAGAAGTTCTTTTTACACAACCAATACAATTTTCTATGTGACGTTTCGATGACTAGTACGATATGTACACTGTCACCTTCATCAGACAAATGACCAATGAAGCGTATGCACACAAAGGTGTTAAATGTGTACGAGTTGTCCATAAAACGATATCGATTTCGGCTACGCTGGAAACGTATGTACAATAGTTGTTATATATGTACCGAAATGACTCAATTCGGCTAAGCTTTGTTAACACTTGGTCATAGATTTGCGAGAGTCATTCGGAAACGCTTAGAATTAGACAGATCCTGGCGCAAAAACACAAACCTTCAGATTCAGGACATCATGGATTTGCTGGAGTTTGTGCTCACAACAACATATTTTAGTTCCGAAACAACATCTATCAAAAACGCTTCGGCACTGCTATGGGTAGTCCAGGATCTCCCATTGTTGCCAAATTGTTCATGGAACATCTGGAGAAAGAAGCAATAGCCAC